CAGGGAAGTGCAGGGATATCTGGAATGAGACAGAGGCAGCAATGTTCTCCAGAAACAAATCACTTAGATCTTTTGTTAAAAGGGATTTTGTCTTTGTTGTAGTAGCTGTCAAAGGATAGCACATCCTTATTTCGGGGGTATCATTTGAATGCAATGAATTCCAATTATTTATTTGTCACGTAATGATGCAGATCAGTGATGCAAGTTAAAATGTCAACTGAATGACAAGAAAGAAAAAGAATTACAGAGGCAAGTATTTTTTAATCTTTCTCCATATATTTATGAGGTCCCTCACTCCCATTTGGAAATTGTTCATTCATTCTGCATGAGTTGATGTTTGTGTGCACGCATGTGCACAGAAATGCTGCAGGTGTGTCAGACGCTCAGACAGACATGACAGTTTCAATTGTTTCCTGATAAAATATCGGCGCCTTTGAAGTCACTGTTAACCTTTTCAGTTCTAGCCAGCCTGCTCTTGTCATAGGCAGACACATTCATTAAGTGTGGCTCTCACAATCGCGGATCTCTGACAGACCGTTTTGCTCGTTAAAGAAAAAAGCTGTGTGTTATGTGGAGGTGCAGTAAATGGAGATGTAACAACAACAAAGGATGAAATAGAAAGAAGGAAGTTATACAGTAGGAGCTGGAAAAGGATCAAGGGAGTTTCATACTCTAAGTTGTCCCATTTGTGGTGCTTCCTTATATGTAAATGAACACCACCTGTGATATCTGATCAAAGTGCTGCTTCTTCTTTAGGAAGTCAGGGTGGGACTTATATTCATGGGTGGATAATAAGAGAATGGGCCTGTGGGCACAGATATGCAAAAGGCCCCACCACCTCTCCCACACAGAGGCAAGACACAGACGTTGTGGTGCAAAGCCAGTTTGTTTTTTGCATGTCTTTGTAGTCATTATGTGGGTTTCTGTCTCTGTGGCAATTTTATTTGTGGTATTTTTTTGTCTCCTTGTGGTAGTTTTGCATCTCTTTTTAATCATATGTGTCTCTTTGAGATAACTGTGTCCTTTTTTATCATTTCAGTCTCTCTGGTGTGTCTCCTGGTGGTCATTTTGAATCTTTTCCACTACCTTATGTACAGCTTGGTGGTTTGTGGATTTTTATTTATTTATTTATTTATTTATTTATTTATTTTATCAATAATGTCTTATCTTATGTAACCATAATAATACATCATCCTTTATTGGTTGATTACATTTTGCCTTATTAACCTCAATCTTTTAAGTAGCAGAAAATGCAAATTCTCAAGAAAAATACAAATACCTCAAATACCTTAGGTTACAGCTACATGTGGTAACTTTGACAAAAAAAAAACAACTTTTGCCATATTTACTGAAACTGTCACTATATTCACACAGTGCTAAATGAGACAGATAATCCGTGAAAAACACCATACTCTTCTGATGACTCTGTTGTCTTGTAGCACGTCTAATAGCATGACCAGCATGAGTGACTATGGATTCAAATTTGATCAGTGCTGCTTGATTTGACAGTTCAACCGCACACAAGCGGTGATTGACATGACTGACAGCTGCGTTAGAGACTCCTCTGCTCTGGTTTGTTGTTTTTGGTGCGCTGTGGTAGATTCTATAGAAATATTATTCAAAGCAATAGGAAGAAAAAGAGGGACATGATTGATTGATTATTTTCACATATAATCTGTTTCATGTACTTCTTTCAGATTATAGTGGCAGTTTCAGCAAATATGACAAAAAGCAGTGGCGTAAGAAAGTTACGACGAGCCCCAGTGCACCCTGTTGTGCATGTATTGTCTTGACTAGAGACATAGTCAACAGAGACTTGACATTTGACAACATCAGCATCAGAAACAATGACTCAGATGGGTTTGCCTTTTTGAGCAGTCTACAGCAAATGGCACCATTTTTAAATTAACAATATCCTTTTTTTATCATTTATCTTTGGACACAGGTTTATATTCAAGGTGGCAATCTGAATAACTTGCAAGGGCCCACTCTCTATGGACCCCTCCACCCCAGGGGCCCCAGTGCAATCACAATGCCTGCTCTGTCTATATTTACGCCCCTGTCACAAATTTATTTTCCAAAAAAGATACCAAATCTAGTTTTAAGTTCAGTACTTCAATATATGGACTTTCAGCCACTGGTACTCATTAATTTTCTGCCTGTCTTTTGATCTCATAAGATAAATTTTAGTATCAGCATTAAAGTTTTGGATTAAACCAAACGTATCTAAGCAGAGCAATATTTAAAAGTCACCATTCAGTGAGCACACAAGGAGGTCTCTTAATCCCTGCTTTAATTTCTCTTATTTTGTTGATCCAAATACTGCAAGATTATTCTGCTGTAGCAATCATTAGAAGTCACACTAGATGAGGGAGTATTTACATCTGAAGTAGTTTTCTGACTTCAGAGTTTGTACCATAAACGTCAGTGTAATGATAAGATACAAATGTTTAAAACCAATGAACCCTGACAGGGAAAGTAACAACACAGGAAGTGGCCAGACACCTACATCTTGTCAGTGTGACCCTTTATAATCCGAGCTGATAAGCACTTCTTATCACATCTCCACAAGCCTGGAAATCTGGACGACTGAACAAATGCGTCTTGGTCAGGTAATAGAATACAAGGCTCCCTCAGTCTCTAAGGAATGACATTTAGTACAAATGTGTTACAGTTCTTTGACTTGGGAAAATATAACTACCTGCCAGGCCCTGTGACATTTGTTAATCTGGTAATATTGGAGTTACAGCGTATCAGACAATAAAAATAACCAGGTGACAGAGATAACACAGCTAACTCATCTTGTTAAGTCTCACAGCAAAGTTTGTTTTTGAATTATGAGGTAAAATAATACAGCACTACATTTATAGAATATAATACACCTGGGTTATTTATATCTGTGTCTCTAAATGTCATCGTATCCGAATAAAAATCCATTCATTTCCTGCTGATCAAATTGACTTTTGATTGCTGGTCTAAAAACAATGTAATTTTCACATCCTTTTTTAATAGAAGTTATAATTGGATTTTTACTGACAGGTAAATAATGCAGCATTTTTTGTGACTCTTTTCTGTTTTGAAACTGCTCTGATTTGTTTTGGTCTTTTGTTGAGCAGATGTGAATTGCTGCATGGCACCAGCCCAATATTCATCCTCTCCGTCTCTCTCTCACTTCAATTCAATTCGCTTTCAGCTGAATGAGATTTATCGACGTTGAAGTTCTCAAACAATATTATTAAGGCGAGGGAGTACAATATAACGTCTTTCTGTCTGATTGTCCGTCTGTCTTACTTTTGCCTCCCCTCCTCCCAGTTTAATATAGTTTAACTGAATTCAGTTTGGTTATTGCGGTGCATTGGCATGAATGCTGCATAAAGAATTCTATCAAGGAGATCAGCGCAGATCAATAATAGAAAAAAAAGCTTGCTCTCATTCTGTCTCCCACTAAATTCAATTAGCTCAACCGACATGAATATGAGATGAACAATATCAACATCGCTAAATCATAGTGTGTGTGTGTGTGTGTGTGTGTGTGTGTGTGTGTGTGTGTGTGTGTGTGTGTGTGTGTGTCTTCTTTTAACTCTGGTCCAGTGAGGGAGGACGTAGACATTATTAGAACAATATGGATGGTGCAACTGATACAGATCTAGTAATGTGAATACATAAAATATCAAATCCATACATATGGTACCCTGATAGTATGGAGTCAGTAATTAGTTTAACAAAGCTCTATGATCAATGACCTTTGTTTTTAATTGTGTTTAGTAAAGTAGTCAAGTGTGAATTCAAATTTATATAGAAAATAAACAAATGAAAACGAATGGTTTACACTTGTCCACGGGACATTCAATCTTATCTTAATTAGACACAGACAAAACAACAACAGAGGAAACAAAATAATGATGCCTGCCATAGAATAAATATAATTTCAATACAATATTACATAAGTTGTCTCCTTTGTTAAAATATGTATATATCACTGTGTATTTTATTTTTTATTTTTTTTTACAAAAACATAAGATTAATCATATAAATAAATAAAGCATAGTGAACGTTTTGATAATTTAAAAAAAAAATCTGAAACTTTGATTTTGAACTTTGAAAAATACAACAATGTATTTAAATGAAAAGTAAGTGAAGGAAAATGGGTTAAATATAATTTTGATTCTGTTCTGAAAATCCTTTGAATGAATTATTTGTTTTAATTTTCACATATATAGTTATATATATTAAATGATATTTTCAGTTGCAGACTTTGTTTTCAGATTCAGACCTTTTTTTAATTAATTTTGTAATTTCCAGTGTTGTTTGGTCAGATTTAGAACGTTTTATTTTACTTTGAGATTTTTATTTTTATTGGTTTTTTTTTGTTTGTTTGTTTGTTGTTGTTGTTGTTGTTTTTTAAGGAATAACATATAGAAGTAATACTCTAAATATTCTTTATAAAAAGACATGCTTTTTTTTTTTATAAGAAAAAAGACCAACAATTTAGTTGATTTTTAAGCATCACAAATAAAATTAAAAAGAAAAAACTGCCTACCATCAGTTTAATTACAATTTTGCTGACTGAGAGATTCAAGAATATCTTAATGTGGGCTTACTTTGTTAGGAACACAGTATTTGTTATAACCTCCACTGCTTTCAGGTAAAAAAGGAAATCAAAAAGAAGTTTACCTGGGTGTATTTTCAAAGTGAGTTACCTCTTTTTTATGTGTCTGTTATTACAAACCTAGACTTCCCATTGAAAACTCCAGGAAACACCTGCTGAATAACAGTCCATCTCATTTTTGTAACGTACATACTAATGTGAGCAGCATCCAGTCATAAAACTCGTGGAAGCTTTCTATTTGCTCAGTGTTCTCCTTCGTTGCTTGGTAACCACGCAGAGTGGCATTTCAGGAATTGTAGTTAAAAGAAACGTCGTATACGTTCTACTGATAACGAAGAGCTTGGACACGAAACTACACATCCCAGAATGCACCTATTGAGGAAGTACCCTCCCCTTTTGAGCACATGACCGTTGGTACTCCAGCGAGCCACAACAACGGGAGCATTTGTAGTGTTGTCCGGCTAGTTTTTTTTAGCCTAGCTAGAGTTGTTCTGCCGTTGGTTGTGTATTGTTATTTTCAAAATGAAGCTGCAGTGTTTAGTCGTGGCCCTGTGTTTCTCTGTGGGTGTAATGGCCGGGAAATACTCCCGTGAAGTAAACGAGCCCAAGCCGAGCGGCGGTGATGAGCAGACGGTGGAGTTCAGGATAGCTAAGCTGAACCAGGTGTGGGAGAAGGCTAAAAGGGTACGTACAGTGAGACAAACCGTTACCTGTACTGCTAACGGGAAGCTGTAGCTAACACCAAGACCATATAATACAATTAATGTTAGCTTGTCGGTCTTTAAAATGAAGAAGGTAAAGTTAGCTAACGTTAACATTACATTGTCCATACAGCAGCTACGTTGCTGTAGTTTTGTCAGTACAGTTGAAATATTCAGTAACGGTTTAATTAGATAAGCAGGAGATGATGCACACCTGTGCACCCGTGCAAGTGGTTAAAGGGGCATTGTGATGGGCGTGAGGGGTTTACAGCCATGGCAGCCTAATGGAGGGCTGTTGGGAAAGTGTAAGTGTGTGTGTGTGGTCATGATACTGGACTTTCTAACTTTGATACAATACCTTTAAAATATATCAATATTCGACGCCATTTTTGATTCCAAAGGATAAAAAATGACACTGAGGGCATACAATTATTTTTTTATTAAGAGATCGATATAACACGACTTTACCACAGTTGTAGGCTTTTTTCACAGCAAACATTTAGAGTGGTCATTGTGTGAAAAGCACAGGTGAAACTGATGACACTAACGAAGGCTCACTTCCAGTCAGCTATTTAGTGAGTCAGCTGGTGTTTCTCAAAGTCAAGGATCCTTCCAAGGATGGATCCTACAGAGGCAAGGCAAGAGTCCCTCCCAGCATTTGGTGAACACACATTTGAACAGGCTAACGAGTGTCCCCAGGTGTGCGTCATTAATCCTCAGCAGACTGAGGGGGTTTCAGGGTACTGTGATGATTTGGCACTCTTCTATGTTGTTGTACAATTTGAACGAATGTAAGCAGTATTGTCAGAGTCACATGACCTTTGGGGAGAATATATTTCTGGATTGTACTTAAAAAAACAAACAGGTAGGCCAAATGAAACTTTTCTGTCACTCTTGTAAATGATTAATTTAAAAACTTTTGTTTTATCTTAATCACAGTATTTTTAAAATCTCATTATTTGGCAGTGGACACATTGGAAACCGTAAATTATTAGGTTTCTATCAGTATTTTTTTTTTTAATAATTCTATGATATACACTGGGGGAGATATCAATCCAAATAAATGACCACAAAGAATAGTGGTTACTTTACCTGCTGAGGATACACACATGCATCCTTTAAAATTCTCTGAATGAGGGACTCTGTCCTTGGTAGAATTTGAAGCATACTTGACATTGGAAAAGTCCTTCGGCAGAATTTGATGATGAAGCATCCGTCAAGTTCAGCCATTCAAAGATCCTTCCTTGACTTTGAGAAACACCCAGTGTTTACAATACTAAGGCCTCTCCTAAGGTGAATGCAGCCATCATTCCTGTGCTTTATTACTTTGACAGGTCAAAATATCTGCAGTGGAAAAGGGTCTATGGTGACATCCACAGTCACAGTGGCATGTGGACAAAAATGTTAATTTCCAATTCTTGTTAGTAGCAGAGAACAGCAGAATGACTGTAGTAAACTTTAATAATAAGAGAGCGCAAGAACGCACGGCTGGTACTACTGTATTAATACTGTGGACACTAAGCATTGAAGCTGTTGTTAATACTCGGAAGCTATGTGTAATGATGAATCAGTGGTTGATACTAATCGTTACTAGTGTTTGGTTGTGTGTGTGTGTGTGTGTGTGTGTGTGTGTGTGTGTGTGTGTTTGTTTCTGTCTAAGTAACCACGGTTTACACATTTACAGCCCTTGAACTAGTGAGTTATTTACCATGTCGCTCCTACAGTTCTCAGTGGCCAACAGTGTAGTATTCTAACTGAAGTTATAATAATTACAACCACATGCAAAAAGAAACAGTACATAAGTTAAAGCAGCTGTGCGGAACTTTTCGTTTTCGTTGATTATAGCGCACCTTTGGTCGAAGCGGTATGACACCCACAGCCTGGTGTCGTAAAATCTCGACTGCAACCGGCAATTACCGCATGCATTTGTTTTGGAGAGCCAGAGGATTAACTAACGTCAGGTCAGCCCAAGTAATTAGTTGAAACAGCAAAATTATTCAGTAAATTCTCCTGTCGTGTTTCTGTTCTGATCTAATCTGTTGTGTATTTTGAGCTACTAAGGCTACCGTAGTAGTGTGAGCCTCAAGTTATTCTGGGTAATGTAGTAACCGTTGTTGTGCTACTGGAAACAATGAGAAGCAGCCGTGTACGTTCGGTGTAAGGAGAAATAAACAGTTAACAAGTCATCTGCTGAGTCTGCATTATTATGTGAAAAGAATACTCGATTTGGGAGTTATGCCCTTTCTCTATCATTTTCATATGCACAGTGGCTGGGTCTCAGCGGTTAGCATGGCGCTTATAGGGGGTCAGTACATCTTGCGCGGAGGGTTACACTGATGAGCAACTGCTGCAGCTGGCTCTGGGACAGGTACGCTAGGTCACTCGGTAAAAGCAAACAAAGACACAACACGGACGATATTACTCACTTGACTGAAAGCTGTCCATCAGCTCCTGCAGGCCTGGACGTTTTTTCCAGTTCATCTTAGGAACATGAAAAAAAATTTCAATCACGCCAGGATTGGTGATTGCTGCAAAGTTTTCACTCCTTGTGATGTACTCTCTGCGGCGGTTTTCCTCCTGATGATATATCTCCCCAACAATGGTAGCACCGAATCCCATTCTGTGCAGCAAAATGGGAGCGGAGGATTCAGCCTCTCTTCTTGCCCGCTCAGCATCCAACACATGGAGTTCCTCATCTGTGTACTCCGGCTCAAACAGGTATGGCTCTGGATCTGTGTCCACTACAAGAAACTCTTCAAAATCGCGTTCAAAGTTGTCCATTGCAGCTACTATATTCCGGAGATATCGCTAGGCTAAATAAACAGCTGAGTTTTGTTTACAAGCTACGTCTGTGCCTGCTCACCGGTGTATCCCTCCGCGGATCACAGCGCAGGACGTACTGACCCCCTATAAGCGCAATGCTAACCGCTGAGACCCAGCCACTGGACGTACAGACACAAAAAAGATATCGATCATGTTGTCTCAATATGAAAATGATAGAGAAAGGGCATAACTCCCAAATCGTCGGAGTATTCTTTTATGTGAAGATACACAGTGAAGACATAACATAATCCTAACACAGCAAAGCTGTTACCTGCAGCCTTCACTTGCAAAGCTAACGCTACTAATGTTAGGTCAGTCCAAGTAATAAGTGGAAACATGCTAACATGCTAACGTTACACACAAATTAGTAGTAAAGTAAGGCCTGTTCATAAATGTTCTGGTGTAGCTCTGAATTTCTTATAAACTGAGGACAACTGCCTGCTGTATATTTGTGTTCATTGTCACAGTCACAGATAATTTTAGATGATGCTCCTTCGTTATCCGCCATGACATCAAAAGTACAACCAAGTCCTCATAGATACATCTCTGGTAAAACTGTTAGGTGTTATGTGTTCAGCAATGCCCGTTGCGTACTGCTTACTCGAAGAACACTGTAAACACGGCTCCTTCTTCTGTGGTTTAATCGCTGCGGGCGAGCAGAATCACTTCCGCCTCAGGTGCTGTATTCTAGTTTGCTGATTTCCGCTGTGTGTCCGACCCGAGCGAGGCTACGCTAAATAGCCATATAGAGAAAGGCTTTTTTGTCGCTGTTGGGTTCAAATAAATATGTGGATCTTCAAGGGGGGGGGGGTGATACGAGCTAGGGACAGTTTTATAAATGGTAAAAAGTTCCGCACAGGTGCTTTAATCAGAGAGGGAGTGGTCAGACTAGTTTCTCCCTTTGAGAACACACACACACAGTGAGGTGCAGACCAGGTTGAGCATCAATGGTAGTCCGTCTAATTTAATGAAGTTGTACAACTCTTCTCCAGTATGTCAGCTTCATTCACCAAATGTGTTCGGATGTCTTTGTCAGAGTGGCAGGGTGTTTGCAGATCTTTTTAAAGTCTTAAAGGGAAATTTTGGTTTATTTCAACCTGTCTCCTATCGTCCTAAATTTGTTTCAAGTGACTAGTGACATAAAAATAATAGTTAGCATGTTAGCCGTTAGCCTAGATACAGCGCGTAGTAGCGTCAGACCTGTTAAAACGTAAGTGAACGGGCAACCTTCAAGTGCAAAGTTAGTTCACTAAACAAGCTTTTTTTCCACAAAGACCGCCTCATATCGTTAGGATAAATGTCAGAGAACATATAGAAAACGACATGTAAACGTGTTGTCTTACCTTACCGGTGTGTTGCCATGTTTGTTTACCATTTAGCTCTGCTTTCCAAAGCGCGGCCAAAATATATCTCGCGAGCTCTAGATAAAGCCCAGCTGGATACTACTCCAGGTGGAGGTGTCTCGTCCTCGGTCACATCCAGACCTTGAAAATAAGGCTGCAACCGGTCCCATTCCTTGCAACAGAGGCATTCCTCTTCTGTGGGCACTGGGGCACAGTATTCACAGGTACACCACCAATCTCCAGAGCTACGCAGCCTTGCAGCAGCCATTCCTCCTCTCTCGTCCTCTACCTGTTGCGGCTCTCTCTCTCCTCCTCCGTTCTTCAATTTCACGAAGCTCTTCGTCAGTGTATTCTGGCTCAAATAAATAAGGGCGGCCATCAAACTCTGCAAAATCAAATTCCTCCTCCACAAAGTCGAAGTCTGGCAAAAAGTCAGCCATTATTCTATAAATCTTTCATAAAATAAATGAATGAACTTTTCAGGCTACTGTCCGGTTCTGCCTTCCAGTTGCTGCTTGTTCTCACAAGATTTCAGGCACGGTATGAGATCGCTGCTTGCCTCTGTTGCAAGGAATGTGACCGGTTGCAGCCTTATTTTCAAGGTCTGGATGTGACCGAGGACGAGACACCTCCACCTGAAGTAGTATCCAGCTGGGCTTTATCTAGAGCTCGCGAGATATATTTCGGCCGCGCTTTGGAAAGCAGAGCTAAATGGTAAACAAACATGGCATCACACTGGTAAGGTAATACAACACGTTTACATGTCGTTTTCTATATGTTCTCTGACATTTATCCTAACGATATGAGGCGGTCTTTGTGGAAAAAAAGCTTGTTTAGTGGACTAACTTTGCACTTGAAGGTTGCCCGTTCACTTACATTTAAACAGGTCTGACGCTACTATGCGCCCCGGCTGTATCTAGGCTAACGGCTAACATGCTAACTATTATTTTTATGTCACTAGTCACTTGAAACAAATTTAGGACGATAGGAGACAGGTTGAAATAAACCTAAATTTCCCTTTAAATTCAGTTGTGTAACTGTTAGACCTAACAAGTCATTCAATAGTCTTAAACTTGAATTTGTGAGGTCTTAGTTGCCAAACATTTGATTTGATTGAATTTATCTATCTTTTATGTTCTCTTTGTCAAAATGAGACCGGCTCTTCTGTGTCAAAGTCCACAAATCTGATCTTACAAATCTTTAAATCGTCTCTTCACATTATTTCACCCAGCACCTAGAACCTACTTCACTTTAATAACCATATTCCTACATAAATCTACCTCTGCATGAGACCACATATATACTACCTTTTATACCTACCTGCATTTCTTTGATGAGTTAAATATTGTCCAAAAAAGTCTTAAATTTGTTTAAAAATTCATCTTTATATAGGTCTTTAAAACATTAAAGTTGGCGTCTGATATCTGAAGACATACTGTAATGGTGTTTTTGAAGTTGTTGCTCAGCAGGGCTGGTAATCATACAAAAAAATACGATACCAGTACCAATACCACCACACTTATGAAGTTACACCTATACCATTTGAATCCTTAGATGATATCTACTATCATAGATATAATACTGATATATTGCTCAGCCTATTTGATACCTCTTTTTGTTTTATTTCATTCGATACCCATCATGGAAATGAAAGCACTCAATTGCATAAAATGCCACAGGCCTGTAGCATAACCATACTTTAAAATGTTTTGGTGACATCTTGGTAGGCTAAACTGCCAAATCCATCAAATACACTGCGCCTGACTTCACCACATCACAGATTGTATGGGTTGTAGTTGTTGTGAAAATGGGCCAGTCACATGTCCTGTAAATTGAAAAAGGCTTGTGGTGATTGGCTGTGAGCAAAACCATACAAATAGTCCTTTTTTTAGATCTGGGTACAAAAGGATTGAATGCAGGTGTTGTTAAACTGGAGAAGTTTTGATATTTGGTTTGAGGTTATAGCAGTCGATACCTTTAAAGGTATTGAGTACCAAAGCCCAGCGCTACTGCTCAATCAGAGCTGACTGTGGTGACCTGCCTTATTTTCAGACCACTGCAGACTCTGATCTTGAAATCTGCCATCATGGTCAAGTGGGGATTAGAGCTGGGCTTTGAGTTGTATAGCATGTTTTCAGCTCCACCTTTATAGAAACAGTTCTTCCAAAAACATAATTTGCCGGTGCTATACAGTGTGTTTGCTGTGTCATAGTTTCAGTCTCCCTTTGCTGCCTGGTTGTCCTCACTCCTCACTCCTCACCCTTGTCTGTCCTCAAAGTTTCCCCCTCCTTTTATCTAACTAAAGCTCTGTTGTCTCTTATTTTGGTTTTGATAGATGCAGCTGTCCCCTGTGCGACAGGCTGAACTGCACAGTGACCTGAAGATCCAAGAGAAAGATGAGCTGCAGTGGAAGAAGATGAAGGTGGAGGGACTGGATGAAAACGGGGAGAAAGAAGCCCAACTGCGGCGTAACTTTAATGGTGAGACAGCTTTGTCCGCTGGTGCAGTCAGGGATAGGTTTAAATATGTCCTCATGTTGCTCTGAATTCACTGTAGAGTCAGCTTGTCCTAAATATTCAGTGACCGACCTTGGCGATGTTGCTCTGTACTGAAATGTTATGATTTTGACAAATAACTGTAATTGGAACATTGGCTCGAATTATGTTTACAGAAACCTTTTAGTACCGAATAGGAAACATGGCATAAAATATTAAGCAGCTCCCACAGTGAAAATTGTATCATTAAGGATTTTCTAGACACTTGTTTTTGTCTGTTTCACCAACAAAACTTTACAGAGCTTTACATATAACTACAGGACTGAATAAAGTAAAAAGCATTGGCCAAGTCTACTTTTTAGTAATCAGAATCTGTGTTGTAAATGAGGAAGTGACTACATTTGCATGCACAAATTTTGTGTTTTGCCCTTATTCCAAAATAAGAAGATATTTCTACTAAGCTGTTTACTTGGCCAATAAAAACTGAATCTCCCACTAATATTCCAGCTGTGCATACACTGATTAACGTTCCCTTACATGATGTTTATCATGTCAAAATATGGAAAATTGAAACAGCAGGTGCTGCTTGTGCCATTTTGTTTCTTTGCATTCAAAAATGATTTTTTTTAAAGTTTCCTACCAGTGGCAGACTTGTGAGCTTCACTTTTGGGCACGCATCTCTGCCCGAGCCATGGTTTATGTAAAACGTATCCATGACAACACAGAGCTGAACGTAAACAGGAAAGAGGTCATGTGTCACAAATTGCGGTGAAAATCCCAATTGTGAGCATATCCCAAATGAGCTGTATACATGCCCATAGAATGCTCCTAAAACTCTAATAATACTAGCCTACCCACATCTTAATCGAAAAATGCTACCTTGGGAAAAACGCCTACTTCAGAATATTGAAATGCAATATGTCGTTCACATGACCTGTATCAATTTCAGAATATTGTCATATTGGGAATAATAGTGGAATATTAGTGTGCATGTAAACATAGTCAGTGATGCTGATGTCTCCCTTATAAAAGCAGCATTAATAACCTCATATTCAGAGGCTTCAGTGTGTCTGTGGGCAAATAGCACCTTCCTGACAGATTAAAGGGTAAGACGTAGATTCTGTCAAATGTGAAACTCTTAGGTGTTGCCATTTGAAGCTGGAGGTTTACAGCGATCCACTGAGTCAGCAGGTTGAGGTGACTTTTATCTTCGTCAAAGCTGGGTCAAAAGTTTGGACACATTTTTCCATTCAAGTAAATGGCAAAGGGCGTCCAAACTTTTGACTGGTACTGTAGGTACTAATAGAGCACATATATTTTTAGAGTTGATGGTTGCCATCGGGCATTTCATAGTAAAGGGTAAATTATGCCTGAACTTTTTGGGATCACATATAAAGGAATACAAAGTTCTGGGTGTGATAGTTAATGTATTAAAGTCTACCCTTTGGCAGAGTTTATACATAGTCAAAGCAGTGTGTAATGTGTTACTTGGCATTGCATCAGCATAGAAGCAGTGCCTGAAATGGAGTACTGGCAAATTTTTGTCTACATTGAGTACTCTTGCTTCTAAGTGCGTACCGCCTCCCAAGTGTGTGAGTCTAGGTACTTAATGCACTCCTTAACACCCATGTAACTGTGTCCCTTTGTAAACACATAGCTAGCTTAATGCTGAGAAAACGGTGCTAAGGATGTCGTTAAAATGGATTTTAAAAAAAAAAAAAGCCAAAAGAATGGGGGGTAAAAAAAAACAGAGGACCAGGTAGATACTTAAGCATCTGCCACGGTTCCTTTCTTAATGCTGTTGCTGTTGTAGCTGCATCGTTAGTAGCTAGTTGCGGTGCAAATGATTCAGAGGCTGTCAGCACTAGTTGCAGCACCAACACTGAGCCTTCTCCCTCAGCAGCCAACTACTGTGGCGGCAGTAACGTTGTGCACCTGGCTGCTCCTGGACAAAGGACCAAATTGACCATTTCTACAAGGCAGATGACTTGCTAAATGTGAAAAACAAGTGTAACAGAAAGGAGAAACCTGGATGCTGGAGTCACAGAGAAGTAAAATCTTTGGGAGCACACAGTTGGTTTTGTTGTAGCATATATGCAATATTATATTTGTGTACAGTTTGATTTGTATCAATACTGACAAAGGTTTTATTAACCAGATATACATTTATTTACAGCTTGTGGAAATATATAATGTATGTGATGTAGGCCTGAACATTTAAAGTGGGATATATCGCCAATATGCACATAAATGTAAATATACCCAAGACACATGCAGTGCTCTTTTCATGTAACTGCTGAATTAAGATACTGGCACCTTTTTTGGTTTAATTCAGGCGCTGCCAAGAAGAAATATAATCTGTGTAACATCCCCATCAAGGCTTGACTGGTGCCAGCATCTTTTGACAAAATCTCCTTTTGAATTTAAGACTGTAGGTGTGTGTCCATACTACACACTAAAAGCATGCACAAATCAATATATGCAGTGTTGGCACCTCAATTAACAATGTGAAAGACATGAGTGTACATGTGAAATACAGGCAAAAAAAGTATGTATTGATTTGAATATGGAGCTCATTAGAGACTGAAACACCCCACAATCCTTTGCACCTAGTGATCCTTTTGAAAGCTCATTTTGTAAATGCTGTGATGGGAATGAAGCAGGAACAGCACCAAGCACCACCACTTCAGATGTCTTTACATTTTTAGCAATTATAAGATAACATAATCACAAGTGTGGAGCTGGTGTATCAGTATGTGAGGGGATCTTCACCTCACTATCTGCTGGCAATGACCCAGCCATACACACCACTCTGTTTGTCATTCTGCCACGAGCAGCCGGTGGACACTTTCCGCCCTTTAGCACCTCGGGGAGCACTCCATCCGCTCTGGACATTTTCCCTTCTCCTTCCATACTCCCCAGTGGTGCATTGACCTTCCAGCTTAAGGCAGAGCAGCAGAATCACTCTGTTCCTCTGGAGCTAAATATAAATCTTAAAGGAGGACCTCAAGTCCCTTTCTCCCCACTGAATCAAGTCCTTCTCCTCGAGTCCCTCTAATTGGGCTCAGAAACCATTTCTTTTTCTCCTTATGTTTCTTGTCATAGCACATCCTCTGTACTCAGTTTGATATGCTAGAGACATATCCTGACACCTTTCTTGTTGTAAATTGGTTGATCAGGGAACATAAGCTTATTTTACTGCTTGTACTCATTGCACTCTGGTCAAAAGCCTCAACTGAGCCCATAAAATATAAAGTATACGAGCCCTACAGTACTGCAGAGATAGTCGACAAGCTCTCCATCCTGTTTATGAGGATTTTAAACTACCCCCCTACACGCAGACACTCTCCTAATGAAGGATCTGTTGTTAATATGTGACAGTGATGGGCTACCAGCAGGTTGAGATGGTGCTGATTCAGCGGATGTAATAACAGTTTACTAGAGCAGAATAATGAGGGCAGAGATTCTTCACAGCAAAGTCCACTTAGTGTTGTTATGTAGCTGTCTGAAATGTTGAGAGAGGAAGACACTGTTAATATATCGTGCTGCTCAGGTTCTTTTGCATATACCTGAAAATATCCAGCAAATTAGTTACAGAAATCTCAAAATGTGGCAAAATCAAAATGTATCTGTCATGGAGAAAAGTCTGTTTGTGTCCTGGCAGTTTTTGGATGCATTTAAAATCTCTTCATTTGTTCTCCTCGTTTGTTCCAGCTTCCTGCCGAGTTTGGGTTGAATAAGTCGATCTGTTAAGTGAGCAAGTGGGAGGGTAAATGAGCATTTTCCTCTTGACTCGCTCTCATCTTTAAAGATTTTACACGTTAAGAGCAGCATGGAATAGAGCACATGGATATCTCCCACTCGGTGTCAAGAAATAAAGTGAAGCTAGTTTCTTTTGATAAGCTCTCGTTACTTTCCCAGACTTTAAAACGTTGTTTCTTGGCCTGCTCAGCATATTTTCAGCAGCTGAATCATTAGAGATGCTTCTCCTTTTTAAACTGTGTGGTAACTTAGGAATTAATGAGTTGCTGTCAAGGGTTGTGAGCCCGTGGATAATTTTTGATGTGAAATGTTTTAGTCTTTCTTAAATGATGAATAGTGTCTCAAATTATATTCTCTTGGGTGTCTAACAGTTTCCTCCCATGACAGCCTCAGTTGTTACTCCTTACAGGCTCATGTCAGGATCAGTTATCACAACTGTTTTTAGCTCTTTAGTAAAAACTCTGTTGTGTTATGTAGTGATCCTAGCCAAGTATGGAATGGATGGGAAAAGAGACACTCGACCACTGGAGAGCAACTCCCTGAAGGACCATGATACCAAAGAGGAAGACGTGTTTGATGATCCCAGGCTGGACAAACTATGGAACAAGGTGTGTATGTGTGCAAAGGAGAAGGAAAGAGAAATATCAAAATATGTTTTGCATATGGTGGCTCGATTTTATGCCCCCTGTTTTTTGTAGTGGCATTGTACAACCTTTATGGCTCCCTGCTTCTGCTGGTGGATCGAAATCTACCAATAGAATAGGCACATGGCCCTCAAATCAGTTACAAGAGAACTGTAAAGCATCTGGTGCTCCTGATCTTTTTAATGGGAAACTGAGTGACAGGGTTACAATAGACTCACAAGTCAGTCTTTAGACGCTTTGCTTAACTAAAGACTGATGTCTTTCTCCCTGATTTTGTGTTTAGATGGGCAGATACAATTTCGGAGTTTAAAAAAAAACCTCCCTAAGTTGCAGAACCAATAGTAAATCTGCAGAGTGGTCCTTCGGTGGCTCGCTGAACTCTTGTGCTCGTAAAACATAGTCCAACTGTGTTAAAAGTTTTAAACAAAGTCGCTGTAAGTCCTTCATTTCCACAATCTTGTGGACTGAGCACACGTTTGATAAAACGGAGTTAAATCTCTCGGCATCCATTTTCAAGCTCTCTGTGTGTTTGTGTCCTTGCAGACGAGAAAAGGGGGAGCGCACATTTCCGGGAGGGCGTGTCCTTTTCAAAAATGCAAGAGGCGTTGCTTTGTTGCCGGCCGTTTTCTCCGGTGTGTTAAACACACTTTAGAAAGGAGTGTCCCCAGACTATCAGAAGGCAGAGATCTCTGATTGTCTGGTGGTGAGACTAGGGTTACAAGGGTCTTCTCACTTAGCAGCACCAGTGGTGTTTTTAATGCAGCTTTCACATTTGACACAATTACTGCACTCTTGTGCCTTAAAAAAAAACACACACACACATATACATTATTTTCAAAAGCTTGTCCTTTGGCAACTTGTGACAGGAAGTGTGCAGCTCGTTAGGGAAAGTAAATAATGATATGTTTTACTGTAGTTGTATCAAAATTTCCTAAATTACACAATTAAAGTCTGAAATTGCTTAAAGGTCCAGTGTGTAGGATTTTGGTTCAATACACTGGCAGAAATTGTTTTTAATAGAATAAGTATGTCTTCTTTAGTCTATAATCACCTGAAAATAAGAATCGCTGTGTTTTCATTACCTTAGAAAGAGCCATTTATATCTACATAGGGAGTGGATCCTCTTCCACAGAGATTGCCTTGTTACACTGCCATGTTTCTACAGTAGCCCAGAACTGACCAACACTGGCTTTAGATAAGGATACTGTAGTTATTAGCCCCTTCCTGACGAGCAGCAATGGAAAAACACGTTGTTTTTTTTTTCCAAGGTGAAACGGCTTTATTCAGTGTTTTCACCGGTTTAAATCACCGGGTCCATTTGCTTTGGAGAGGAGGAGACCTTTGCGGATAATTCAGCTCGAGTTAAAAACCTCCTAAACGTCAGGATCTTAAGTTGTCAGAGAAAAAAGGTGAGCAAACACAGAAGGCGCTGGGCTAGCTGCCTAACTGGGAGTTCACGCTTAGCATATGGGAAAAGTTTCAGCTTCAATCTCTGCACTTTTTGCAGCTGCAAACAGTACAATTTTAAAAGTGGAAATAGATAACTTTTCAACTTTTGCCCTCCTACTCGTCCTGAATAGTATATTACAGTTGCCGCTATTGTCGCAAAGATAACTGGAGTTTCCATTTTCCTCAGAGCCAAGAAACTACCAACAACACAGGACACACTGCATTGTGTTTTCCACAGCTACTGCAGGTGTTCCACTTTATGCCATTTCTGCTATTGAGGACAGTAACTGCAAAGAACTTACTCTGATACTCTTAGCTACCAAGGAAACAAAAATACTATCCTCTTCCTGTTTTGGTTGTGCACTGGTTGACACACTTTCTTTGTGCCATAAATCCATCTTTCATTTCACGGGAGATTGTACCGTGTGGCAGACAAAATTGCAGAGTGAAAGTGAGGCAATCTCAACACAGATGGTGTCATAATTTTACAGCCATTACACTGTGAAAGTGACATTCACTTCATAATGATAAGTTGAAGTAGAAACTTGTTCCACTTTAAAGTTCTGATGATACATATTTTAAGAAGATTTCCCATATGCAATATATTCAGTATGTTCTTTGTAAAATGGCCCTCTTGTGTTCTGGCAGTCCATTGAGTTGATGGATTTTCAAATGCGTCTATTATAGACATTGATGTATTTCATGTCACCTAAACCTTCTTGTGTGAATAAATTGTACCGTACCTATTTTTCACACCAGTATCTGTCATTCTTGTGCCATCAAAGTATGTCCGTTCCTCTCCTGCTGCTTTTGAGACTAACTCCTTTCTGCCTTCGATGACTGTTCCCCCACCAGGCCAAGAGCTCGGGGAAGTTCTCCAGCGAGGAGTTGTCGAGTCTGAAGAGGGAGTTCCAGCATCACAAGGATAAGATCCACGAGTACAACATCCTCATGGATACTGTCAGCAGGACCGAGGGTGAGCTGCGTGAATCACCCCCTTTGCTCTGCAGCTGAGCAGAGGTGTCATACCACCTCCGCTAAGTTATATCAGTATATTATGAGGCCAAGTTTATGAGCCTTTAAGCCCTGTCCTCCTCTTTACTATTCACCACTATCTGTGTTTGTATACAAGCATACATATGGTTCTGATCCCAGCTTTGCTCCTAAACCAGAATAACTTCTAAGTTTACATGTTTAAATAAAGCCTGGAGAATTTTGCTCAGAAATAAGGCCAGATTTATGTTTTCTAGCTGTCGACACTGTTTCCAAAGTAAATGCAAAAATAAACACCTTCTCGCCCTCTTACAGCCTCTTTTGGCTGATAGCAGTTCTTCTGTTGCCGTTCAGGTCAGTCATCCAAAAACCAGTCCTGAGTCTGAAGTACTCTCTGTCTGTTTGTTCAGTCTTGTGGTCATGTATGTAGGTGGAAGGTATCAGACTGCACATGCTGCCACCCACCGCTCAGCGCTCTATCAGTGCTTGTCACATCACATCAAGCTGTGAGTTTTAAGCCGAGCTGACAGGCCCCACTGTGTTTGAGATAGACACAAGGAGGACAGGCATGTCTCGTTCGGACGCCACTGACACTTTGCAGCTGTTTCGTGCCAGAACTTTGCTGCTAGCACTCCACAGCGTTACGTTTTTGGCGAACCAGCCAGGGGTGTTTTTCTGCTTGTCTGATGCGTTTAAGTATTGAGCCAATCACATGTTGCCTTGAGGGGAGTCTCCATGTACCTCCACAACTCCCCCACCTCCATCCATGCACACTTTTATTGCGTCTCACAGTCTTCATTTCGTTTTTTTTTTTGTTTTGTTTTGTTTTTTTATCCAAATGTCAAGTGTTGTCCAGCTGGCCTCACTCCACTTTTTAATTCCTCACCTTTTCCTCAGCTGAGACAGGCAGGTATTTAATAAAAACATGGTGGTATTACTGGCAGGATGAGGATCATAGGTTTCTCAAGTTTCCTATGGAAAAATAAATGTGATATATGAAGAAAAAGCCAGTCCTGCGACACGTAACATTTTTACGGGTTATTTTATAGCTACTGCTAAACTCTCCTTATTAAATGCTGTTTTTCTTTGTCTCTTTTATTGTTTTAATTTCCTCCTCCTTCCCCTTTTCCCTCTGTGCTATTATTATTCTTCGTGGTGTCTTGTTTCATACCTCCTCCATTTCCTCTTCCACTCCTCTCCCCTCTCTTTCATTTAAACCACCCACCCAACTCGACTCCTAACCTGCCCCATCACCTCCTCTCCTCCTTGTCTTTCCCTTCGCCTGTTCGCCAAAACAGAAATACACAAGAATGTGATCTCCCCCCTGGAGGGTGACGCCAAAGAGCATGTGCTGCATCAGAAGCACACAGACCTGAAGCAGAAAATGAGAGACCTCAACCAGGGCTTTGAGCGCCTCCGTAAGCTCAGCCATGAGGGCTTCACTGAAGACAGCGGTAAGAGAGAAAACACACATACACACACAAACACACACACACAGCTTGTCTCTTTGTGCATCGCAGTTTCACTCTGCGTTTATCTCATCAGCTTAATCACTGGGATTTGTAATAATAATAACACACTCTGCCGTATCACAGTTGGCGAGCATGCTCTGCTAACGACTTAACCTAAGTGTGTTGTGCTTTTAGTTTTTAGCCCACATGGCTGCATCCATCCAGTGATATCAGCCAGCTTGTCCTTGTGCTATTTAACTTGGAGAAAGCGTTCATTACTCTGTCATGATTTAATTTTTTTATAGTTCAGTCTTTTATCTCTCATAGTCTGCTGCCTTTGATGGAGTGTGGTGCAGACATTGTGAGCAGTCTCAGTTGTGCAGGTTTCAGTGGGAGTCTGTTGAAGAGTTTATATGAAGTTGATGTACCTCCTGCTGATTCATACTGACTCCTTTTACTTCATCTCCTTTGATTCCCCTCCAGGTTGTTTCTCACTCAACCCTTCACTTCCTGCCTCCTCTCGCACAAAACAGTCTTAATCTCCTCCTTGCTGTTTTCTCCGTCTGGTTCTGTTATCCGTGCAGCTTCTGGTGCTTATGGAGGGAAGAGAAATCTGTGACTGCAGAGATGTGAATGCCAGCAGTTTTCTTCTCTTTCATATTGTGTATTAGGGCCGGGCATTATATTGATATTATATCAATATTGTGATGTGAGACTAGATGTTGTCTTCTCCTGGTTTTAGAGGCTGCATTACAGTAAAGTTATGTAACGTTCTGAACTCACCCGACTGCACTCAGGTAGTCATTATATCCACATTACTAATGATTATTCATGAAAAATCTCACTGTGTAAATATTTTGTGAAAGCACAACATCTAACAGTCAACTAAGGTTGTCGTTATAACTGCAATACTGCACTAATGACAAGCCAATCTTTCGGGATGGCAAGCAGCTGCTACAGTCTCTGTGTTCATGGTTTTTCTTTTTCCATGGGAGCACCGCATATTTACTCTCTGTTACAAAGGCCAGCAGCAGGAGGAGGGGCTGAATGTCTAATCTGTGTCGAAAGCTGTGCGTTTGCTTCTTTTTTTCCAGTTGCAAGAATTGAAAAATGTTTTACTTTGATTAAAACGCTGCAGCCCTTTATCACCGTCACTTTTTACCCAGTCATTCAATCATAGTGGAGGAGGGGCGGGACAAATACTGTGGAGACCAAGGCTGTGTCCAAAATCATTCACTTATCACTACTCCCTACTCACCATACAGTGGACTATGCAGTGAGTGATTTTAGACACAGCCTAACTGTCACAAGGCTGAACAACAGCAGCAATGGAGGATAAAATAATACTGAATCCCAACGTGCTTCAGCCTTCCCATCATCCAGAGCAGGCTTGTGTTGACAGGTTTATTTGTCCAGATGTTCTGTATCATGGAAACCAAAAGGTTTCATCTGAAAATCGCTGCGCCATTTATTGCACATAATTGTCCTTCTGTGTTTAATATCAATTTATATTAAAAATTCGTCATCTTTGTCTTTTAAAAAGTGACAATATACCTGATGATAGTCAAACAATGAAGCTTATTTACAAAGCACTAAAAACAGGATGAATGAAATTATTTGCAAAAACAACCAAAAATGGCGGTAATTCGGTAATACCCTGTGGTCAACCCAAAATTGTTGCAATGTTGATATCAAGGTCTTTGGTCAAAAACATTGTGAGATTTGACTTTTTCCAATTTACACAACCCTACTGTGTTTATACCAAACTACTGAGCATCTAGGCTTGTTGTGATTAAAACATCTGCTGTGACTGCTCCTCTTCAAAGCTCCTTCCCTCTTGAGTTGGCAAGTATTGGTGTCTCCTTGGACTGTTTATCGCTTCATCTGTCTCTGTCCATTTTCCTCTTTAGAGTTTCGGGAGCCCCGTGTGATTGAGCTGTGGGAGGCTGCCAAGAGAGCCAACCTGAGCAAAGACGAGCTGGACTCTCTCAAGGTAGCTCTTACATTGCTTGTGACAGTCTTTTGGACGCTTCCTCTGATTAGTTTCGAGATAAAACTTTTTGTTGTAGCAGAGTGCTGCAGTCTAACTTTTAGAAAACCTCTTGGAAACTTTTTAGTCAAGTGCTCTTTTTGTAACAGCTTTTTTAACTTTTGTAGTGTACTTGGTAGCGAAGTAGTACTTGTGTATGGTAAGCCATAAACCTTAAGTGCACACTATTCTGATCACATTTATGCATTACACATTTGAAATGCCCAAGTATTCCACTCTCCTTTCTCTCATTGTGCTCCTTTCACCCTTTGTCCCATGAGAAGAGAATTACAGTGAACAACTCAATTTAAATTTCCATTCTTTTAAAATGTATCTGGCTTCAAGATCAAAATGTGTCACAGAGAAACATTCAGCTAGAATTTTCTCTGTGACATTTCTTCTCGAGTCACTACTTGAGATGCATATCAGTTCCCTTGTGCAGCTGTGCATGTAATTGAAGGTGAACTGAACTTGCACCCCCCGTGCTCACCGCCCTCCTTTTCTTGTTCACTTAGGAGGAGCTGCGTCACTTTGAGACCAAGGTAGAGAAGCACAGTCATTACCAGGAGCAGCTGGAGCTTTCCCACCAGAAGTTGCTACACGTGGAGTCTTTGGGAGACAAAGAGCACATCAAGAGGAACAAGGAAAAGTACAACACTCTAGCTGAGAAGACCAGAGAGATGGGCTACAAGGTAAGGAGGGATAAAAAGTTTGTGTGCTAGCTCTTGAGGCCCAGACTCACCAAATCAACTTCAGAGAGCTAGCAGCGATGAAGGCCCCCTGCTGCGTTGACTGACACCACCTGTGTCTCGGCCAGAAAGTTGCACATGCACACACTACAAAGACCACAGCCAACAGCCAACCAGCACAAAATTATGCGCCTGTTTGAGAAGAAATAATTCTCTACACCAGCAGATGGCGGTTGTCTGTAATCATCATTCAAAAAGGGACACTGGTTAGTTAGCCAGTTAGCACATTAACAACACAATCCAATGTTGAAAGAACACCGTGCACCAGGAAACATTTAAACAAACCATTAGGAAATATTGCTGCTGAAGAGCTCAATGGCTAAAGAAAAATAATCTTAACTTATGTAACAAGTTTGTTTCAGTCTCACTCCCTCTTGACTTTAGCATTTTGTTTACTTTTCTCACTTCTGTTTCTCCTCCCGTGTGTTGGGCTGAGCTGCAGATAAGAGTGATTTCATTCGACGACAGGCTTTGCATTTGCTGACGCCGATTCAACATGCTGAATTGGCCAAAAAGAAAGTTGACAAGGGGCAACAATGGGGAACACAGCACACTAACTTGGGCAAGAAACACTAACTGACGGCCCAACAGTGACCAATGGCCGACTGTCAGCTTAATGTAGGCCATCAGTCAATGTTGGCCGGTGGTGGGCGTTTGTGCCCCAAGTTTTTGCAGTGTGTCCCGCACCGTTGGCACTGGTCAGCCCTGGTCAGCCCTTGCCAGTGAGAGAAGAGAAGTAAACAAAGCAAACAAAAGACTAAAGTCAGGACGGCGTGAGATAGAAACAAACCTCTTATATTTGGTGAGATGTTTTTAGCCATTGAGCTCTTAGCAGAAACGATTTGTAATTGTTTGTTACTGAGCACTAGCACGTGGTAAATATTCTTTGTTCTTTATACATCTGGTTGTGTTATTCATGTGCTAACGAGCTTTAAATCCATCCTGTCGGTCTTCCGGTTTCCCTTTTTGAATGACACATACAGACTACCGCCACCTGCTGCTGCTTTTTTTTTCAGTTATTTGCAGGTGAATGTAAACACTAGTTGGCCGCTAGCTGTAGTCTTTGCAGTGTGTTCAAGTGCAACTTTTTGGCCGAGACACAGACGACACAACAGTCAGCCTTTATCCCCACCATTTCTTTGATGCCAGTTTGGTGTGTCTGTGCCTTGACTCCACATTCTGCCATCAAAGACCGCAAAGCTACTGTCCAATAGCAGACTGCTCACCTGCTGTAGACAATAGTAATGTTGCAGAATGGGCAATGAATAAAACATCGCTGTAGTGTTGAAAAAGTAGTTACAAAGAAACAGAGGACCAAGGTTTACAACACCTTGTACTGTTTGGTTGTAGAGGAGCAGAGTCTCTTACCTCTAGAGTTGCAACACAACTGACATAAACAAAAGCCTGACGAATGTTCCACAACGGCAATATTTTCCATGAATACCACATCCACAATGTGTTATGAGGGCATTCATAGTGAATCATAATTCTTGGACTACACTGCGCTATATCCACAGTCGTAAAACGTTGTACATGTGACTTGTAATGAATTACACAGGTGTCAAGTGTCTTATGGGTGCTCTTGACTAGCCATAAACTAGAGGCTGACTGATGGCTTATAATGCATCATAATTACCTATACACACCTCAGCAATCATCTGTATAATAGTCCATGCAGTATCATATTATGCGCTATGTAAAGTGAAGCACATTGGTGCCGCTATAATAATAATATCTGCTTCATCATAATGTGTCATTGTTGGTGTTAAGTAAATTGTAATGCACATCATGCATCTATGCTGCATCATAAGTGATTATTATGAAATGCCTGCCACACAATAGAATACTTTGATAAGACTTAAATACTTTTGAAAGATTAAAGTCTGACACTCTCATGTCTAAAGGCAATATGTCATAAGTCAGTCATTAGTAGTTATAATGTATTATTAGCCTCATCATGAGCATCCATAACACACGTGACATGTACGATGGATTATAAGGCATAATGTTTTATGACTGTTGATAAAGTGCATCAGAAAGCATTAATAATAATTCACTGATTGCCCTCATAATGCATTATAGATGTGGTCTCCATAGAAAGTGTTACAGAAAAGAGACTTCATATTTCTACATATCATTGTAGTCATCAGGGGGAAAAATGCCTTTAACCAATGTATTAAAGATTATTAGGATAAAGTATGCATGTTAATTAGAGATAAATTCTCAAAAAACAATAATTTGTGTTGTATCCAATGACAAGTCCTTTAGTTTTCAAAGGTTGAATTTCAACCATGCTCCACATTGGCATTCCAGCAACTATTTCAAAGTATATTCTGATAGATAAATGTGCCACAGTTGTATTAACTTTGGGAATGTGACTGAATATGTTTAAAGGGAAATTTCGGTTTATTTCAACCTGTCTCCTATCGTCCTAAATTTGTTTCAAGTGACTAGTGACATAAAAATAATAGTTAGCATGTTAGCCGTTAGCCTAGATACAGCCGGGGCGCATAGTAGCATCAGACCTGTTAAAACGTGAGTGAACGGGCAACCTTCAAGTGCAAAGTTAGTTCACTAAACAAGCTTTTTTTTCCACAAAGACCGCCTCATATCGTTAGGATAAATGTCAGAGAACATATAGAAAACGTCATGTAAATGTGTTGTCTTACCTTACCGGTGTGCTGCCATGTTTGTTTGCCATTTAGCTCTGCTTTCCAAAGCGCGGCCAAAATATATCTCGCAAGCTCTAGATAAAGCCCAGCTGGATACTACTCCAGGTGGAGGTGTCTCGTCCTCTGTCACATCCAGACCTTGAAAATAAGGCTGCAACCGGTCCCATTCCTTGCAACAGAGGCATTCCTCTTCTGTGGGCACTGGGGCACAGCATTCACAGGTACACCACCAATCTCCAGAGCTACGCAGCCTTGCAGCAGCCATTCCTCCTCTCTCGTCCTCTACCTTGCCTCTCTCTCTCTCTCTCCTCCTCCGTTCTTCAATTTCACGAAGCTCTTCGTCAGTGCATTCTGGCTCAAATAAATAAGGGCGGCCATCAAACTCTGCAAAATCAAATTCCTCCTCCACAAAGTCGAAGTCTGGCAAAAAGTCAGCCATTCTATAAATCTTTCATAAAATAAATGAATGAACTTTTCATCTTCCTATCGTCCTAAATTTGTAGGAGACAGGTTGAAATAAACCGAAATTTCCCTTAAAGTATAGCATCCAAAATTATCTTAATGCCGTAAAAGTTTAAAAACATTACTAATCAAACTAAGAGAGGTTACAGATTCCCTTTATAAAACATGAACATTGCAAAAGACTGAGACTCAGCCACCACACAAACTGAATTATAGATCTACAGATATTCGTCTTGCAGTGAAATGTTAACATGCATGTCTTTCACTGTTCGATCCAGATGAAGAAACATATGCAGGACTTGTCCAACAAGATCTCTGGTGAGGGACTCGAGCACAACGAGCTCTGAGAGGCACGGGATCATGAAGGTTGGACGAACTGAAATAATTCCCTCTACAACCACACACACAGCGTACGCTATGTTCCCCCATTCCACCTCAACTACTGTAAAGAAAAAAAAATCAGTGTTTTCTACATTTCTAGTGTTATTAGTTGTTGATTTCTTATGCGAGGTTGCTGAATGGATGATTTGTACATAATGAGAGATTTATAAAAATCAGCTGAACTTATTAGGTCACAGATAAAACAAAGAAGGAATAGTTTACATGTTAAGTCTGGTACTTTGCATTTATTTGTACGGTTGGCAGGCAGGTGTAGAAAAAATGTCTGGCTGTAAATGTTGCAGTACTTCAGGCCTGCAACTTTTGTGGGGGTGGTTGGTGAGGGATAGACAGCAGCAGTTGAGTCACTCTTAACCAGCTGATGTAGTTTAAGGGATGGTTCAGGTCCTGGGGAACAGCCAACTGACTGCATGAGTACTTCATCTTGCAGGAATATCGGCACATTGCTGGCCAGACAGTTTGTCCACACCCATCTGTCAGTAGTTGTGCAAGTAATTAATGCTACATCAGAGTGGCTGTTGGTACGGTAGTAACTCAGACATTAGTCGGCTGAAATATTGTGATGCCACTGTTACTGTCTAATCAATGTGAAGCATGCTTTGCAGATTCAGGTTAGAAGCACTGAAACCCGGAAACGTCAAAATGTAACAGCAGTCTTTAATCAATAAGATACAGGTGCCAACAACATACAAACAGTAATATTTTAAAAATATAGTTTAATATCATTCTTAGTGTCTTGGCATAAATAAAAGCAGTTATTATTTACAAATCCTGTAGAGGAAAGCAGTCCCTGTTGTGACATTAACAGGCTATTTTTGGGAAAGTTTTTATAACTCGCCCTCATGTTGTTTCGCCTCCTGAGATATGCCGGTAGGGAACCGCGGCCATAAAAATAAATTAGTGCCAAATGTTGGACAATTTGTCCTGATGATATCAAGAGGGAGGTGAGAAATTGGAACACACACTGTGCTTTCCCATTCATCAATTCTGACCTGAAGCAGAGACATTGATTACTGTGATGAATAATGTCCCTGGCTGGCTGATTACTCAGTCATCTCCTTCTTGGGCCACATGGGCCTGGATTAATCTAATTTGCATCTGAGATATAACTCTAAGACGCTTATTTCAATCGAATGCTTTTGAGCTCTGATGTGGAATGATAGCCAAGCAAGCTGGGACTCTAACAGTCGATTGTGAGGCATCAGTGCGATGAGGCGGGCTCGATCTCTCACCTTTTAATAGGAGGTGTAACAACAAATAGTGCCATGCCAAGACAGTCTTAAAGTAAATCTAGCTGGAATTTAAAAGAAACTCCAGATTAACAAATTACAATTTGCCAAGCACAGCAGCTGTCTCTTTGTCTCCTAGCTATGATATCAGTGGTAAACATTAGTGTTTGGTGCCATAGAGAAGTGAAGTCCCTCCCCTTCCAGTGTCCCACAAGGGACCTTATTTCTGTATGACAAAGTAATTTAACTTGTTTGAATTGTGCCATGAATTACACATTTGTCAGTTTAAAAGATGAATTTGCAATTCAAGAAAGTACCACAGCGAAATACAGCTCTCGTCTCGCTCAACATAGCTATGTCACCAAGACCAGCAAGCTAAGTAGCCTGGTAACGTAGCTATGTTCTACTCATGTTATTTTTAATTTATGTGCCGAGTTTCATCTTAAAACCGGCTAAAAAAAAGCAACCTTGACAGCTCCTTTGAGTAGCTACAGTCAGCAGAGGGAATATGTTGTAAGAAACAGTGTGAAATGAATACGCTTTAAAAATTCACACAATTAGTAGTTTTCTGCCAGCATTCCTCTCATGCCTTAGTTGAAGCATCAGTGTTGCTTTTTAAATAGTAGTTATGACATTACTTGCATATTTTTGTAGTTTTATAGTTTAACAGTTTTACAACAAACTGCAACTTTTTTGACTTGCAAAATTACCCTTTAAACATTCTGTGTGTAATTCGTGGCACAATTTAAATGGGATCAAATAATTATTTGTCTCAAGATTAACTACCCTACACATTTTTTGCAAAATAAGGTCCCATTGTGGTCCACCGGAAGGGGAGGGACTTCGCCTCCTAATCCATCATAATTAAGGCTATTGTAATCCATGCTTAACAGTCACCTGAGAGAATCTTAAAAGAGGCAGATATAAGTGCCATGCAGCCCAAAAGACAGTAAAAAAAGGAGCATTTCTGGGATAAAAAGTCTTCTAGAAATGCAGGAAAGCGCTAACTTAAGTACAAGAATATGAGAACTTAACACAAAACGCATCCAAGATGGCAGCTGCATAAGAGATTACCCAGACATTTCCTATTTTCTTCTTATTCTTAGTGGAATGGATTGTTTGTGGGAATTTCTGTACACTGGCACAACTGTGGGTGTGTTAAGTACAACAATGATCAACTACAGTTAAGCACTTCAGCTTATTTTGAGAGAATCAGCAATGAAAAGTATTTTAAAGTGTCACCGAGTTGCAGAGTCAGTTCAGTGGCCCTCGCCACCTGCTCTCCAGCTGAGTCAGTCTGTCCTCCCTGCCCTGAACATGCTCCGCCCCCACTCTCTGAGCTGTTTCCATGGCAGCGATGTCAAGATGGGCATACCTGATGGAACCTTCCTCTGATCGGAGAAGGAGAAAACATTTGTTTCTACTTTGTCACATGCAGGAAAAACAAGCAGCAACCTGTCCGTCCTTGAGATGTTCAGTTACTTTCACCACATATTAACTGAAGCATACACTATGACCTTTTCTTGTTTGGTACTGTTGGGATACAAAAATGACTTTGTATCATACTTACAGGATGTTACCTTGAATTATTGAAGAAAACTTATGGGGACCATGTTAACAACAGCAAAGCTATACCAAAATATCTGTTTACAAACTCTCACACAACTCATACAGTACAATCCAAGTCTCTTTTATCCAGTCATATGCTCAGTACTTGCCAAACACGCATTTTCACTAAAATGTTATTGATTTCAAACATAATATTCGAGTGATGTGCCTGGGCATGTGCACACATTTGAACTCTGATCAAGTGGAGTTCAGGGTGCACTACTTGTAGGCGGGAGCGTTTTACATTGTAATGTTTTAGCAAAAATGTGTTTGGGAAGTACTGAGCATACGACTGGATAAATGAGACTTGGGCTATATTCCAGGAGTAGTGTAAAAGTTTGTAAATGCTGTTAAATGCAGACGCCATTTACTTCAAGAATTCAAGGTAACACGCAGTGATTGCAAATTGGGTAACACTTTACTTGAAGGTATCTACATAAGAGTGACATAACATGGTCATGAACATTATGTACATGTCAAACGTTTGACTGCTGTCATGAAGTGTCATTCGGTTTTTGTCATGTCAATTTGACATTAAATTTGTTTGGGATGTCCTTACAATGACAACTTGACATTTACCAGGATGACACTACCAGAAGATTTCTTTATGTTAATGTCACTTTAATTAATGCCAAGTTGTCATAATCAAGACAACCCAAACAATGTCAACTTGTCATTACAAAAAGTGAAAGACACTTAATGACAGCAGTCAAACGTTTATGACATGTACATAATGTTTGACAAGTCCATGAAAGTGTTACCATAAATTGTCATGTGGGAGAAGTCTTCTTGTAACCCATTAATTTAATCTAGTTGTAAGAATGCATAAAATTACTTTGGATGTTCTCTTTAATTTGCCAATTAAAAGCTGAGAATGATGTTTATATTATTACCTGTGTTGTAAATTGCTTTAGGTCACTTTTGTTAACTGCTTCAGTCCATGAATGTGTGATTATACCACAAAAATCAGCACAATAAATTGTTTCTCCCTATTTATACGGTGTACTGATCTGTCCATACTTTATGCTAATTGCAAAGTAAACTTTCCTCCCCAACGAGGCAAGTAGTAAAATAAACAGCAATAGCAGAGGGCTCTCAACCACACAAACAGTTTTTTTTTAAGTCTGTCATAATAGAGTGCTGCAGGGATGACTTTTTTGGTAGGCCAATTTGTAAGTTAGCATTGCACTTGTTACCTGAAAAAAAGGGGGGGATTTTTCCATTTCCGTTGTGGATGACTGCAGAAAATCGTCTTGTTCAACAAGATATACATCACAAATGAACATCACTTTTATAATTTTTAAAGTGTAAATGCAACTGCAAGAAGTTAAACCTAAACGAACTACGCTATGGTCACGTGACTTCTATGCCGCCGCCACAGTGAGGCTGTAGTGCCGTGTTTGGCATGCACGTGGTAATGCCAGACATTTCTTATACGCCTTTTTTCATGACACATAAAACCTTCCAAATTCACAAGTGCAGTATGTTACATTGTAGAACAAAATCTTGAGCTTGTATTAAGCACAGACCTTATTTCAGACATCTGACCAAAAAACCCACCGACTTCGAGACAAGGGAACCGAAATGTTAATACCGACTCATTTCGGGGTTTTAGGACTCATTCCTGCAGCACTCTATATCAGTGCAATTTTTTCTTTGGTGGTGCATTTAGGTTTTGTAAGACCGATTTAAGCCAAATTAAACATATTGCAGTTCTGTTGTCCTTACCCCTGCCTTTGTTCTTACCTTTTATCAATGTACACCGTGTCAAACTATAATATTGTGTATGCTAATGATAGATAAGGTCTATGGATATTGAAGACATATGATGCAAAAGCTGACATAAAACCACCCTCTCAGAAGCCAGTTAAAAAAGAAAGCAGCAGTAGAAAAATAGATTTAAATTTAAGGCTGTGTATTCTTACTGGGTCTGCAGAGCTGCAAAGTCTTACCTCTGAGAGGACTGTAAGGACCAGAGGCTGGAGCTGAGCCGGGCTCCTGCAGGTCAAGCTCTGTGTAGAGGAGCTCTCTGTTAGTTCTAGCTGGCAGGGGGCTAATGGGGATATTAACATAATTAGCAGCATTGCCACTGTGGAGCCCAGTGTCCAGGAATGAAGGAGCTGCGTGGGCTGACTGGAAAATACCTGAAGGAAGAATCCAAAAGTGTAGCTGTTAAACTGGTTGCTTATTGGTTACCCCTGACCAGCAGGGTTTAGTGTTAGTACATCAGCAGTGAGCTACAAATGAGATATATCTGGGAAACATCAAACATGATAGTTCACTTATTAGAGATATGGGGACTTTCTTACCACAAGCTGATGTTGGCCTATGCATGCTCAGTGCTACAGGTGGAGGTGGAGGGACAGAGGTTGGCAGAGAGGACAACGACCACTTCAGACCTGCTAACTTGTCAGCAACATCCCCAACTTCATCCTGATCCTCTGTCACACAGAGAGGAGGATCTGTGAACGAAGTATTCAGATCATTCGCTCAAATAAAAATAATATAATAATGTGAAAATACTCTGTTAAAGTGTGAATTAGTATAAGTAGTATCACAGTATTAAGTATCAAAAATAAGAGTACTCATTCAACAGGAAGGTCCCAGTCAGTGCTATGTAATAATGTATGATCTTATGTAATGAACAAACATATAAGCAGTATTTTCAGTGTCGTAACTTGTCATGGTGGAGCTCATTCTAACAACTTTATATGCTGTTTGGTAGTTCAATCAATGCAATGCATCATAGTTTATAAACTATTTAAAACCTAAATGTAAAATTAACTGTCAAAGTAAAAGTAACTGTCAAATAAATTCAGTATTTACCTCTGAAATGTGTTGGAATAGAAGTGAAGGGGCATAAAACTTCAGTACTCACGGAAATCACAAGTACCTCAAACCTGCACTTTAGTACAGAACCTGAGTAAATGTTGCTGAGCAAGACTCAAACACACCTTGTGTATCTGCAGAAGGTGACAGGCCTGATGGTGAGTTGGCAGCCTAGAAAATAAATCACAAAAGCATTTCAGATTTTATTTTGAAGCACTCTAGAATTGACTAAAGGCTCTGCAGCTTATATCCATTGTATTTGTTTTAAGAAATGAGCTTGTTTGATGCTTTTGTCATATTTGATAGTGTAGCCACAAGTGGTGATTACAGGATAACAGCACAGTGAATTTGGCTACATTACCAGAGATTCTCTTCAGCAAAGACACTTAATGTTAATCTGTGACATGTTAGATAGTCGGTAACACAGGTAGAGGAGTCTTAAAGTTGGCACGTCATGTACTTATGTCAGTTACACAGCATCTAGCTACCATTTAACATCAGCCACAATTTACTACTGATCATCCCAGACTAGTTAAAGGGATCCTTCCCCCACACAATGACCACTGTATATCAATTATTCACCATGTTACGTTGAATTCATGAAGAAAAGTTTGTTTTTTCTCGCATGCCTCCAGTAAATGCAGAATTCAAAAAAGGTGCAAGTTCTTCATGAATTAAAATAATCGGGGTGAAACAGCAGAACTATAAAACATTTAACAAACTCTTGTACAACTCGTGCTTTTTAATCCAGTCTCATTTATCCCATTATATGCTCAGCACTTCCCAACCACATGCATTTTTACAAAAGCTAGTGTCCAAATGTAACTTTTACTCACCGGCCAAGCATTTTTTTTTTTTAATAGGTCAAAATAATAAATTGCCTTTTGTGTTAGCCTACATGTACATGCATTGAGATATTAAGGTATTATGTTGAATGCAAACTTAAAAAAAAAAGGTCAGAGTTAAAATATTTAAAAATATTTAGTCTCTATATACAGACTCTACATTCAGTGAATGTAGAGTCTGTAGGCAAACCCCGGAGATCTTGCCTCCGGAAGAAGAGCGGAAAAGCCCTGGTTTCCGGTTGTAGGCTGTTTGTAGTCTGCGTGATATTGACCAATCACGTTTGAGCCGGCTGCATTTGTTGCCAGGTTAAACGGTCCGTGCAGTGAACTAACGAGGCGGAACATAATTGGTGTCACTGCAAACTCTGAATCCATCGCAATGGTTCAGCATATTTGCAGACTTCCGTCTGCCGGAAGTCAGACGCCGAATACAGCCGATGGGTTCCGAGAATGAAAAATATTTAACATTATGTGACTAAGTTCCCTCTTGTAAGCAGTGAATATGTCTAGGGCTTTTATTGTGAAATTTAACAATGGTAGGTATGAAGTTGTAATGCCCTGATGTTGATGATGCTGACAGTAATAAGGAGTTTGCCACCTTGGTTCAGACTAAGCAGCCTCTGTGTTATTTTATTATTTTAATAAATATGGTTGCAACTTATACCCCTCAGCTTCGCCCAATGCTAGCTACCGGCAGACCTGCGGCAAGTGATAGTTTAGTGGGTCAGCTGATGTCCTGAAAGGTAAAGAGGGGTGCTTGAGACGGTTAGTTCTGCAGCACCGTGTAGATGTGTGTAAAAACAAATCTGTGTTGTGTGTGTGTCAAACTCCAACACTGACACAGCACAGGCGAATAACTGACGGCACGAGTAGCATGCCGGTCACACAACTGAACTCAGCTCAAGCAAAGCCCAAGCAGAACGCATGCCCATACCCAGGCTTGCTCTGGGCGTGCTACTTGTTGGGAAAGTGTTTAATACAGTAACGTTTTCTCGAAAAGGCACGTGTTTAGGAAATAGCCTACTGAGCATACAACTGGATAATTGAGGCTTGGATTACACTGTGCAAGTTGTGTGAGAGTTTGTAAAAAGATGTTTTTATATAGTTTTGCTGTTGTAAAATGCAAACCGTGATTACTTAAATTCATGAAGATCAGGTCACAATGGAGGCATGTGAGAAAAACTGTGTGATGCTAGGTTGGTCATTTTGTGGGTAGAGTCTTCTTTAAGGCTCTAACAGCAAAACCTCTGACTGTATTGAAATATGCGAAGGTGTGTTTTATTTGCTTATGAATTAAACTTCTCATATAAGTGTGTTGTTGAGTGTGTTGTTTCTTCTTTCAAAAGCTACATTGCCTTAAGTATACAAAATCTCTTTATGGCTGGAGCTAATAGGCAGATAAAATCCTACCTGAGTCAGGCATCTGTTTCTCGCTGACCGCCACTGCTCCGGTGTAATGTAGTTGTCTGACCCATGACTGCACTGGAGAGACAAGAGGGGTTATCATTGAGACAGGGTTAATTGTTTTTTCACAGCGACAAATCAACACTGTTACTAGGAAGCAGCAACTGTTCAGACTGGAGAGAAATGAGGTATGGAGAGAGGAGATTTTGTAAGCAGCTGCAGACTGAGAGGCAAAGTTTGATCAGGAGAAAGAGGGAAGTGTGAGGATGTGTGGTAAAAAGAAAGTGTGATACAGAGTCGAGAGGACAGAGCTGACATTTTTCGAGGTGGTAGACAAGAAACAAAAAGGGCGGCTGGCTCAGACATGAGAACTCTCTGACAGCGTATCCCAATTTATCGTTTTCTTCCTGCCCACAGCAGCTAATAACACAGCAGGCTCGCACTTCAAGAATATGTTCTGTCACACGGTTTGTTTCAACACATGATACAACTTGTGGACTTAGGCATCGTCTCATTACCGACATGACGGATGTGTACTTTTTGCCATATTGAACCGCTGACACTTCAGAGTCGAGGACTGATGAATAAAGAAAACTCATTTCTGTTTCATACAACAGGACTCTCCTCTCTGAGGGTTTCTGTCTGTTTCATCACTACTCATTAACTCTCTCCGTCGCCTTTTGCTCTCTCTCTCCAGTATAAACATGATGTATAATGAACACACACACACACACACACACTCCTACACAAGCTGTCAGAAATCACAAGACAGGCTGCTTCCTCTCCTGCTCTGATAATTTACTCGCTACATGGGGGAAGTGCTTTTCACAATCTATCAGAAAATTAATTAGACATAATGTGGAGAAGTCTCTTTTGAGGGCTTTTGAGGTTTCAGACAATAAGTATCAAAGTGAAAATAAGTCCAGTTCTAGACAGGTTTTTGATAGAAACTACCACCTAATTTCTTTGCAGTTATTGTTTTTCTAATTTGGCGGTTCAGTGGCTCAGCAGGTGGCACAGTAATCTCCAAGTGAGAAGGACCTGGCTTTGATTCAGTCACTTCTTTTTGGTGTTTGAATCCTCACACCATGTCTCCACACCCTGAGGTGATGAGAGCAAAGACATGCAAAGCCACTTGGACTAGAGGCTAAACTGCCTGTAATGGAATAAACTGAGGGGGCATGCTGTGATTGCAAAATAGCAGCATAGACTGTATATAAAAAAAGTGAATGTAGCCGCCACAATGCCACCCACGAGTTTGGTGTTTCGGCAGTCTTGGTTTTTTGGAGACAGAAGTGACCATTTTTATACAAGAAGGTGAAGCTGGGGAGGATGCATATTGCCACCAAGCAGCAACAATCAGGGCTGAAAAACGAAGGCAACAATGAAGTGCAGTTCCTCCATGCCCACTTAAGGCAAGCTCCAGAAGCGAGTGAATCTATATCGACACCCATGCTAAAATGTCTATCTTTAAAACAAAAATAAACAGGTTTACAGCCTGTAACAAAAACTGTTTTGGTCTCTGTCGCTAATGTCAACATTCATGACAGCTGTACAGGGGTGAATTTTTATATGACTCACCTGTTCCCCTTTTATTAGGGCTTAAATATATGCATAATTAAGGGCAAGGCTGCTTTGACTGACAGGCAGGTGCCACTCATTAACAAGTCACTACCATGACAACAATGTTGGTTAGGTAATGTTACCATTGCTTAGCCCTAGATCCACAGAGTACAGGCATAGCCATAGCTGTTGCTATTTCAGTGTGTTTTCAGCTCATGAAAGTTAGATGTAACATCATCTATACAAGTCTTGCTCAGCATTTGGTTGGACTAAAATACCCTCCCATGAGTCGGATGTTTCAGATGTTTTTTGAATGGTTTTGAGCCTGTTCTTCTAGCGAAAATCACCATTAGCATTATCACAGTTAATCATAGCTATAAATGCACCGTGCTGACCAAGCTAGCAGCTAGCCTTAGGTTTAGAGTCACCCTCTTCTACAAATATTGTCCCTTCTGGCTCTAAAAATCCAAGGCGGCAGCCAAATTTAAAGCCTTAAAACTCAAGGAGTTCAAAACAGGAGTCCACAAGCCAGAGGGTGACATCATGGTGGCTACATCCATTATTTTATACAGTCTAAGGAAGTGACCATATGTGGATGAGAGGGTGGAGCTGAGGAGGATACACATTGCTACACCTTTGTCCTGATTGGCAGGTCACCGTGACTTGTTCATCACAAAATAGCCACACCCTGAAGCATACCCTGCTTTAGCATCTAATTTTTACTCTAATAGGATCATAAATTACAAAATGAACCTCATGCTGCGTTGAAGAAGACTTGAAACTAGTGATTAAGACCAAAAACCAGTTAGGAGAATGTTTACCGAGTTAGTAATTCAAGTGAGAAGTAGGGTCATTTTCTCATAGACATCTAGACAATCAAACCCCTTTTGGCAACCAGTGGAGTCACCCCCTGCTGGCCATTAGAAAGAATGTAGGTTTAAGGAACTTCTGCATTGGCTTCACTTTTCAGACCCGGAAACTATGTCCACTTCTTTTATGCAGCACTTAGACAGTTAAGAAAGGTTTTTGTGTGGTGGGAATGGATTATGATGCTACTGATCCCCAGTCTAAATCACAGAATAGTAAGTAGACTCTATAAAGAAAACATACCCACATATTGTTTTTGCTTTTCTGCTCATGTGGCAGGCACTGCAGTGTTCTCAACTTCCCCACGAGCCTTTGAAGCGTTGACTATAAATCGCAATTACAAAGGCAGCCACCCAAGTGAGTCATTAGGTTGAACTGGAAGTAGCTGTGTGTATATGTGAAGAGGCCAGATAATTGCTGCTTGAACTGCAGGTGCATCAGTCACAAACACTGCAAAATTCAGTAACACGGCAAGGGCAAAAGTTAATATTACAAAAGGCCAAACACAGAAAAACTCCATTAGAAAAGAGAGACCCTCAACTTGACCGACTAAAGAAGCTTGATGGGCAATTTGCTGAACAACTCTCCAAACTAACGCCTCAAGGATTACCATCTGGTTGAATCAACATTTCATTCAGTCTGAACCAGGAAACGAACATTGCAACCCTCAACAAATCAACTTAACCTTACAAGTACTAAAAAACAAATTAAAGGTTATATATTGCCAAGAACTTTACTGACTACCCGTATGGCTCTGTTAGGTTCAAACCGCAGTTGGTAACTTTTATAAAAAATAACTTTGTTATATTTGCTGAAACTTATATGACAAGTTTGTAAACAATTCTTGCCTCAGTTGATTTCAGACAGATTTTACAGTAGTCTTTAGCTGTAAAATGAAAACGTTTATAGCCTGGCCACAATATTAAAAACAGTCAAGCCAAACTTTCTCATTTTACAACTAAACAGTACACTAAAATATGTTTCTGAAAACATTTGAGGTGAGAAATATGCAATGCAGTAACAGAATTCTGTTGATCAGTGCTGCCTAGTGGTTGCCTGTTGATGAACAGTAACTGACATTAGTGCTGGATGATATTGCAAAAAACATTATCATGATAATTTTTTCCCATATTGATCAATATTCATATTTAGCACGATATATAATTTGATACTCATGACTGAGGCCTAAACAACCACAGGGTTCATGTGTTAAACTTTACAATAGTTTATTAAAACAAAATAACATTTGACCATGCAAACATGGCTTGGTTTAAAATATATTTTATGATAAAAGAATATGTTGAATGACATAACTCTTGATTTGTTTTCCGTCTCTATCTGCAACTCATTGCTTTTAAGATATCCAAATCACTTGCATATAACTGAAGTGGTGTCAGCTTTTTTTGTCAATACTTTCTCAGCTGTGGAGGATAACGTCAGGTTACTTTCAGCTCTTTAACATTATGAGCTCCGTGGCTGTGTAGAACAAACTGGATATGGATTAAGAGAAGACAGTGAGTTACTGCAGGCAGAATGACCTGAAGACGCCACATGACAACAGGTGTTTGATAAACTGATCATACAGTCTCCTTTTTGTTGTACTTCTGGATAATGAGCATTGCTGTCGGTGACTCCAATCAAATCTATCCTGAAGTCTGTTTCATTGCCTCCGCTTAGGCTCTGCTCTGAACTGACGCTGCTGTCACTGTGTCTGTGAGGAGCTGATACAAACTGGCAGCAACACAGAGCAGAGAGAGGAGACGCAGCAGACTGACTGGCTATTGTGTTCATTTCCGATGTGTGATAGGCTGTCAGATCTATTCATATCAAGAATGTCCAAAAAAAGAAAAAGTCCAAAGCTTATCGTTATCAACATAAATTTTATCGCCATCACATATCTAGAACATTTGAACGCACAGCCCTAATGAAAATAAGTGACAGCTGCACGAGAGACTCCTCGGCTCTGACTGGTTGTTTTCAATCAGCCACGGTGCCTTTAGAAGCAGAGGTGGTGGAGGAACATGATGTTTTCACGCATAATTTAGTCACAGTCTCATGTACCACTGTGTGGATATAGTATTGTAAGTCTAAATGTAAGCTTTGATATGACCATTGTGCTGTAGATGGAGTTAACTGATGTGTTTAAAGGTTGTAGCACTGTGTCCAGCACTTAATCCCTGGTGTTTCATTTCCTTTAATTACTTCTAATAGGTAATCTGAAAGAACTCCAGCTTGTTTTCTGTATTAGTTCTCTAGTTTTTAACCATGCTGGGAGCATAGCTATGTGGATGTCAGTTTTTGTCTGCTGGTTGACCTGTCCACCACTTTGATCTAGACCAGGGGTTGGCAACCTTTACTATTAAAAGGAAAAAAGGATGCATGGAGGGACCAGGCATATTTGAGCCTTTAAAGAAGGTATCTAAATTAGCCTATCAACATTACTGATGGCTCCAAACGAGCATTCATTAATATCTTTTACCACAAGGTGGCTCCTCTGCATTAGGCGTCATGATTATTTGCTACTTCAGTTTTGCAGCGTTGGCTGTGAAGCAAACACATCTGTCCGCATACTATTAACATTTTAGTTGAAGAAATGTTAAAACCTTGTTAATCAGTGTACAGGCTACACATTTTTGCAAGTGGCGAATGTAAAATCACTTTAGGCCTAGAGCAATGATGTATGAAAAAAAAAAAAAAAAAAAAAAAAATTAAAAAATATCCTGTTTTTGACAAACCCACTGTAGAGTAGATAAGGAGCCACATGTGGTTGCCTACCCCTGGTCTGGACTGAATTAGGCCTGTCTCAACATCTCTCATCACCATGAGATTTGGTGCAGATTTGATTGGTTTACTGAAGAATGAATCCTATTGAATATGGTCATGGTCCAGATCTAAAGATCTACAGCCTCACTGTACTGTTGAATACTGAGACTGGATTTAAATGTGTTTTTTTTTTTGTCTATATGTTAAACGTAAAATTATACCCAGGACCAAACAGATGTAGCATACTAGGACGACAGAGTACCACAGGTTCCCAGGAGTTAAGAGTACTCCCCAAATTACTGTAGAAATATATGAGCCGGGTCTTGAACCTTGCAAAAACATAAACAGACACTTCCTCCCAGATACTTGAATCAACAGCAGTGTTTCACTGAAGTGCTTCAACTACAATACAGCTACACATCTGTGACAGCAGGTGCTGAACTGGTAACCTTAGCGATATCACTTGCACTCAAGCTGCCTCTTTCTTCTACAGCCAAACCCCATTTCCACTGAGGTGCTTATCCTGTCTTATTATCACAAGGGATAGTTGCATAAGACCCCACTTACCATTAATACAAGAATAAAAGAAATACCAGTGTGGGCTTAATAAATGCACACAGAAACATTAAGGAGACATTACAATCTGTGGGAGTAAACCCTGGAGTAAGTGATTAGCATGAAACATTTTGTTTCATTTCATTAAGATTTCACTTAATGCAAATGTTAGCACAGAAACAAAACTCCCAAAGAGAACATAAAGTCTGAGAATTTCTCAGAATATAGTGCTGAGCACTGCAGAGATGATGGCAATCTGTTTTCTTAGGTTGTACTATATTATAATGCGATTAACCAAATCTCCTCAGTGTTAGACTCTTGGGTTATGGAAATATTTTAAAAGGCATATTTTCTCTGGTCCCACTGATAGAGCCTGTGTAAAATATCTTTTATCGCTTTGATCCAATATATGAAGAGGAGTTTTAATTTCAACATACATTATCTTAAGATACTCTCTGATATTTAGTGTGCTTAGTTGGTTGAGTGTTGACTGGTTTATTAAAGTTTTGAGCGTGAGACTGTTAGTACCTGTGTTTCTGCACAAACTGGACCTCCAGGCACCAGCAGGGTTCTAGGTGTGGACCTCCCCTCACTGTCTACAGAGGGCGCCCTCTCACTGCCCCAGGATTGTGAGCGCTGCATCCCAGCATGATGCTGAGCCTTGGCTTCTGTGGGGATGTTGCTCAACCTTTGTCCCTGACTGCCCCCTGCATCCCCACTGCCCCTGCTGTCCCTGTCCAGCTCTGGTGGGCCTTCCTGTACCCTCAGGGACAGGGTCTGGAGCAGACTCCTGGGGGTGTCATACCGCGGTCTGAGCAGGTTGGGGATTTGATACTCGTCACTGTGCCTCCGGAACGCACGAGAGCTGGATCTGGAGGAACAAGAGCAGGAGGAAGAGGTAGCACAACTGTGGTCTGGGACAGGTGTAGACTGAAAAGTAGGAGGAGGTGGAGGAGAAGTTGGGGGAGGAAGAGCAGGAGGTGAAGAAGGAGGAGGGGGTGGAGCAGGTAGGCTGGCCACAGAGCCAAACTCCCCCTCCCCTCCCTGGCTGGCCATGTCCAGACTCCCCGTATACGAGGAGCAGCTCCCTGAGTAAGATGACTGACTGCCTGTAGCTATTCCGATCCCACTGTCTAATGAGCTTTGTCGCCCGCTGTCATGGAGACCACGAGAATGGAGCTGGTCGGAGGATGGCCGAGTCCCAGAGCTTCCCATCACAGCAGCATAAAGCCTGTCATCTGAGCTGGTCAAAACCTTCAGCGTGGACGAGCTTGACGCCGTCTCGTTGGACAGGTGAGGTCTACCTAATGGCTCCACCCAAAATGGAAGTCTGCTTCCGTAGCTTGCATCTGACTGGCTGGAGGAGGAGCTGGAGATGCTGCTCTGGTCGTCCCCGGCAACAGATGTGCTGCAGCTATAAGTGGAAGCTAAAGAGGGCGATAAAGTTATTAGATCCTGATGAAGTAATGTATTAGCCTGCACACAAACCACAAAGTTTAATGCCTATACACAGAACATTTAATAATTAAAATATAAATTGTGTCTTTACTCAAGCTCTGGGTACAAAATCCCATGACGCTGTGAAATCAGTTTTCAATTAGCTGTCCTCACTTGCCACGGTTCAAGTCTTTTGCCGGCCTTTCTATGCAGTGAAGGCAGAAAACATGAAGGGTTTCTTTTTTCCACAACTTTAGAGTTAGTCATCAAAAATGAATCATGGATAGGTGCCCTGCTGACCCTCCAAACTTCACATTTCTGACTCATACACACACGTAATGATGACAGAAACTTTCCAAAAAAACTGCCTTGTAAATATAGACCAGTGATGAAGCATACAGTGTAAGGTTCAGTGGTGAGTAAGAGATTCATAATTTAGAGCAAAACGTCATAATAAACTACATCTGAAGGTCCTAGGATCATGCTTACTATCCATCTGATATATTACAGAGTGCTCATGCTTTATATATTGGATATAGTACAGCTTGAGGTGAAGTAAACAGTATAAACGTACCTGTGCTGCTCGCGAGGCTGCTCTGAGACAACATGCTGAGTCTCTTCTCCAGCTCTGATGCCTCCTTGTTGATTCGGTCCTCTGCTGACACTGGGTCAGCACTGGGATCTTCTGTTTTTACAGGACATACAGACATGCACAAATATAAAAAGGACCCTTCAGAGTGTGTAAGCAGAGAGAATGAAAACAAGACTGAGGTGTGTGCACACACCTGATGACATTAAAACACATTTTCACTGTCCATCATGTTTCCAAATCTATAAGCAACAATTGTGGGGAAGCTGTCCCCACGTCAAGGTAAGAGAAACAGTAAAGCTCAGAACCGAAGTCCTTGCTGCATTTCAAGGATCAATAATCTTTATCGCACTCTAAATTAAAATGGTAATTTGACTGCAGCCCAAATAGTTTTTGGAGCAAATGAATTCACCGCAGTTTTGATGGTGTGTATGTAGATAAAGACCTAAATGAAAATATTTTAAGGTCACTCACATTTATTTTTTTTTAAATGGCATTAGTTGTGAAAACAAACTTCAGCATGGCAGAATATCCTTTAGAAATATTTATCTCACATAACCAGCCCAGAAAACTCTTCTATCAATACAAATGGAAATATTAAAGGCAGAAGTTGTTGGAGTGCTACTGAATGCATCAGCCTCCTCTTTAAGATGTCTCCTGTGTGTGTTTAAGTTAGTCTCCAGCTGTTATGAGTGCTTGTAAATTTAACGTCTCCCAGGAGGTTACAGGCGCCTCAACTATCTGTTGGAACATCAATTTAGTGTAAAACCCTACCAATTACACACTTAATGCCTGCTATATATACATTCTGTGTGCGTGCGTGCGTGTGTATGTGCATTTGCCAATGTGCGCACGTTGCATTGGGTCAGGGTGTTTGTGTGTATAGGTGTCAACAACCTAACCCCTGGATCTCTGCCTCTGGACCGCAGCAGCTAATGCTAACCTGCCAAGTTTCTTCACTACGCTATGTGAGGTGTCAGCTAACATTTGCTAACGTTGCTGGTCTACGCTAATTATAGCTGCTTCACAGCGCTGAATGTCGTAGGGTTACAGTGGGCCTCAGACTGACGCAGGCTGGCTCACACTAGAATAAATGTTGCATGGGGGCTGAAGTTTAACTCTGGACATTTTCAAGCTGGATGCTGTCTTTTCTTATTTTTCTATCAACCTGATAAATTTGGACTCAACTCTCTCCACCTACCTACACAGCTACGCGCATAATTTATTTGGCCATGTTCTCGTCTGTGTGATCCAGTCCTTTAGAGCCTTGTATATTAATGCTGACTCATCACCATGTACACGAAACATACCATGTATTTGTATATCTTAAGTTATATTTTTAGTATTCTGATTTTTTGCTTTAACTTAGTAGCAATACCACAATGTAAAAATACTTCATTTTAATAAGTTAGTCATAAATTCAGAATCTATCAAGGGGCAACCTCCAGGGCTGAAAAATGAAGCCAACATGGAGGTGCCAAAAACTGCAGTTCCTCGAATGGTCATTGGAGTCCAGCTCTAAAAGCAAGTCAATCCCCATAGGCCCCCATGTTAAAATGCCAAACTTTACAGCAGAAATGAACACCTTTACAGCCTGATACAAAAACTATTTTGGTCTCTACTGCTAATTTCCCTGCTTGTGACAGTAGTATCGGGGTGAATTTTGATATAACTCACCCAATTAGATGTTATTAAGGCTTCAAGCTGTTTTGAGTGGCAGGTGGGTACCGTCCATTGACAAGTCACTACCACCGCGACAACACTGGACACAGATGTGGAGTATTGAATACTGTAACTCATGTACATTTTTGCAATTCTTCTGTACCCTTATGTACTTGGTATTCTTATTGTGTGTTGTGGATTGACACTTAAATAAAGGTTTATCTATCTATCTTGGTTAGGTTAAGTAACCATGGCATATCACCAGATTCACAGAGCATAGCAGTAGCTGTCGCTATTTCAGTGTGTTTTCAGTTCATTAAACTTAGTTATAACATTTTGGTGACTTAAAAAGGTCTTGTTCAGCATTTGGTTATACTGAAACAAGTACATTTTGCTTTTCTGGTTTTAGGCCTGTTTTTCACTAGCGAAAATTAGCATTATCACAGTGAACCACAGCCTACCTTACTATTCAAGCTAGCAGCTAGCTTGAGGGTTAGCTTCACTCTTTCATCCAAATATGGATAAGAGGGTGGATAATGAGCATGTTGTACTTATTGCTCCAAGTACAACATGCTCATTAGGCAGCAGAATGCCCCATGTCAGTGCAACATTATCATGTTATGTTATTGTTGATATTTTATGTTCCTTAACTTATACTGGTCATAAGGCTCTTGTTTACAGAGTGAGCCACTGATGCATTGAAAAACACATGCTATAGTGTTGAGTCCTTGTGCAGTACAAAACTGCACATAGAGAACTCCCTAACTGGCAAGAAATGATTAATTCTACTGACACCTATGGACAGGCAAATTAGAATCTCTCAGTATGATGGAAACAGGTTGGAAAACTGAACCCAGGTCAAAATATTCAGGGTTTTACTTTTAAATGAGTGACTCTGCAAAAAATTTAAGTGCAGTTTAATAATGACAGTACCTAATGTCTGAAAATAAAGAACTGAAGGTCTGTTCTTGTACTCTTTCTACAGTATGAAGAAGAAAAGGCCAAAACCTGTTACTGAGGACTTTTCTCCATAATGGTGTCAATTCTCCACCTATTGGACCTAAAGCATTCATCTTTACAAAAAGTGCATCTGTCCTAATCAAAAGACAGATCCTGGGAACTGTGTGTGTGTGTGTGTGTGTGTAGCCTAATGTACCACAGTGAGGTAACCTTGTCTCTGTGTCTACTCAGAGGTATTTGAGCTGTCAGATCCTTGGTATGTGCCCTGTACAACCTTTTCTCTTTCCAACTGTCACTAAACCGTCTGTCTACATATTTGTGGTCTCAGAAATGCCTATGAAATTAGCAGTACGTTACAATAGCACACAAGTCACACACAAAGGCATGACCTCTCTAAGCCCCACGGTGACCCTCGGGGCTCTAAGCATGTCGTGTTTCCGTTAGCATGGCGCCTGGCACAAATGCTAAACATGCACACTAAACAGGCAGTAAACCTTTATAACGAAAGTCACAGAGTCACATACCAATGTGGTTAATTGTTTCAGTTCAGAACAGTGGGTCTCTTCTGCTAATGTTATTACTAAAAATATCACTATTCAATCCTTAGACTACACGAATTTACCTGTTCACATCCCTGGGTCCCCAATATTTTCTCACGTCCCTCAACATGTGATATTGACGCCAAGGGCACCCTTTAATGTTTTTATGAGACCAACCTGGCTTTCAAGTAACTCTGGTGTAAACCAATCCACTACAATACTTGGCAGTGAGAGCAACTGTCAAGGTATAAATAGCAAGAAAGTCTGTGTAGGTGGATGGGTTAAACAAAACAAGACTTTCACCCAGGAGACCGGAGTATGTGTCCGTGGATGTATAAAAAGAACTGAATACAGCATTGGAGGTGGGGCCACGTTAATTCCAATGGAAGTTGCTCACCGGTGCATGAAGCAATAAAAATACACCTGCCACATATCAAATTACCCCAATGATTGGCACTGCTTCTGCACTGTGTGGCCCATATAGCACGCGCACTAGAGACTTTCACTGGTCTGGCTGGTTGCCTCCAGTTGAGAGCTCCACTAACTTGAAAGGGGATAAAATTATTTAATCGGGCGGACCATCTAGACTTTCCAAATGTTATCGGACGGAATGGATCAAATACAGATAGTAAAATGAGTAATTTTATAAGGGTCGCATCGCTCCAAAAAATGTATCCACTGATTTACAGACGTCTCTTTCACCATGTAAAGGCCCATCTATGTTCCCTTTACGTATGAAAATGTCACTGCCCACATACTTCCATGCGCCCTTTACGTTGGCATGGATGTTAACCAATATATCCACCAGGAGGCAGCCCAGCGTCAAAAGTTTATGACAACAACAAACTCAAAAACAAACATGGCGACTGTGGAGGAGATACTGATAATGTACCTCTTGCATAAAAGACAAAAAGAGAGGCAGCGTTGTAGGAGGCGGTGGTCGGTCAGGCCGTTAAATACATCGCGACTGGAGGACGGAGAATTCTTTTCTCTAGTACTGCCAATGAGAGAAACTGAATTGTTATTTCTTCTTCGTGTCTCACTAGAGCTACGTATGGGGTAGTGGCAGCAACACTGCCCCCACGGTTCCCGGTGGTACTGCTCCATTTGGCCCGTATCCGTAAGCTTTATGGAAACGTGCAGAATTACGGACAAAATGAACTCGGAGCACAGACAGAAGTCTCTGTCCGTATCCGGATCTGTATTTAACGTTGAGCATAAATGGGCCTTAAGTCCATGGAAAAAGACTTTTTAGGCCTGATGTCATCGCATGATGGACATAGTTTGACCACTACAAAAATTGGCTTTAAAGTCCAGTGCACTTCCTAGGGGTTTGATCATGTCCTGTTTGACACCAAAAGTCTTTGTTTTCATCCAACGTTACATAACTTGCAAATGTACATCCTGGGTGACACCAAATCTAAATATTTGTTTTTAATGTAATGTTATGTAATACTATTTAATTTACGTACGCTTGTCGTGCACTGACATTACACGTGATATATTTGTCACATTACTGTCACATAACACTTATTTTAACCCAAAACATGAGCTGTTTTTTTTTTTTAAACAAGCGTGTTTTCACCTGGCAGGGCAGGTCGCAGGTCATGAGGGGTCCTGCTGGGGCTGATGCCCCTGACAATGCAGTCAAACAGGAAACTGATCTGCTCTCCTTCTGAACAGGACAAGAAGAAAACACCAGCCCCTAGAAGAGAGGAGGAGGGAGACAGGCAGCACTATCAATGAACGACTTACGTGATGGAAGACTCAAAAAAAAAAAAAATTAATCAGCAAATTAAACAGCATGAAGCAGTAGTAGTAATCAGTATGGCACATGGAAAAAGGTAAGAAAATACTGTAGTAAATGGTGAAATGTAGAGTAAAATAATATTTTTGAGCAAGGCCAAACCAAATCCAGAGCAGTTCAGAAGACTGTTGTAAAGGCAAGGCTGCTCTTTGAGGCAGCAACAGCCCTTTCTTCTAAAGGTTACATAAAACATCTCTCAATTCACCCTCCTATAAAGCCCACACAGAGGTAGGAGTCTGTGAAAACACAAGGCAAGCAAAAAAATTCATGAAACATCAAAATCTCACATCGCCGAGATATTGAAAAAACAGCCACAAAGTAAGCCCTTACTCAGGGGTTGGGTTAAAAAATAATCTTTGTTCTTATGGAACTGAGTGTGCAGCTAATACAAAAAACAGCTGAGAAAGTAGAGCAGAAAATTGTTGAGAACAATTTTTGATCTGAGTCGATCTCGAATAACGCCAGTCAGCAAAGTTTATTTGCTTTAAATGTGATTTTGAACAATAGATTTTAAAACCTGCTGTCATTTTATGGAAAAGCTGGAAATAGTTTGTATTTGTTTAATACAATACCAAACATTTAGTACTTGGGTAAAGGTGTCTTTCTCCTCTATTAAATATTAAGTATGTGTCTGGTGCTCTAAGGTTCAGAGATTCTTGCTTGACTCATCACCGAGTATTAAATGCAATGGAAACCTATTACCCTCATTAGGTGTTGTGTATTTTATGGTATTTCTGAAGGTGGTAGAAATGCTCGAGCTGCTGAGAAACTCATCAGTTAAGATGGACTTTTACCATCATGGACAATAAAACTGTATGGGCATTAGCTGAGATGAAAGCCAGTATTTTACATGGTGACCTCTAAAACTCATGGTTACTCTGAGGCTACAAAACACTAAAAAGAAAAACAATAAAAGCAAAAGATGTTCTGCTTTTTAATCTAAATGATTAAGCTGAACTGAAGGACCTTTGAGAAGTTGACCTTAATGAATCTACAGTTTTGTGAAATATGTCAGAAAGGTGTTGCTTTACCTATAGGTCACAAGTTACAAGGTTTCATGCCATGTGGAAGGCCTTATGTACTGCTTCAGCCATCAAAATCAGACAAAATAGTGTGGGCGGACCAGGGGTCCATTTCACAAAACAGGTTCAACAAACTCTGAGTCAAATCCTGAACTCTGAGTTGATCTACTCTGAGATAGGAAACTCTGAGTTTCCGGTTCCAGAACAGCTGATTTGAATCAGTTTAATCAACTCGGAGTAGTTTCACCTGGAGTTAAGCGCATGCACCACAACTATAAAAAGCCAGCATCAATGGAGCCCCGATTCGACGATTCACCATGGCAACGGGGACGGGGAGGGCTGTGTTTTTCATCCCACTAGAATTAGAAATCTTAATGCGCTCATACTGTGAGTTTGCACACGTTTTCAAAAAGAAGTGCAACACCGCTGCAGCTGCAAAAGAGAGGGAGACGGCGTGGGAGAATGCATAAGTTTAAATGTAGTCCTTTGCTATCACAATAATATTACAGGGGAAAACTGCTTGAATGGTAGCCTATTAATTTATTTCATTTAAGTGCAATCCCTCACTTGGCAGCAGTTTAGGATGAAATATAAAAACATTGTTCAAACAGGTAAGGCTCAGCATAATCTCATGGGGGTACTTCATTTTGATCATGTTTTACATTGTAAAGTAAATATTAAGTGGCTGTTTGACTGTGTAGTTGTTTTATCCCCAACATAATGCTGTTTTCACACACATAAATGTCTTCTCATCTATATCATCTTCTGTTAAATAATTAAGCCTATTTAAACTAACACAGACTTCTACTCAGCCAACAGAAAGAAGGCAGATGCCCATAAAACGAGCACACTTTTCTGACCGCCCTGCATACAGTTGCCTTACTCAAGTGCTCAGCGTCTCCGACATTGTACAAAAAACTTCCATTTGCAAAGAAACACAGCGCATTTTTATACAGTATGAGCGCAACACACAATATCTGCTGGGATGTGAGAGCATAACTACGATTGGTAATGTTGCAAATGTAAGGACGGATTAGGTTGAGTATGTAGATGATGGACTGTGACGTGAAACGGTACCGCTCAAAAAGATAATTGTGTGGAAATGCTAAAACATCTATGCGCGGTCTGATAACCATCTCCTGACGAATATTTAATTCTCTGCGCAGTCTTCATCCACGGGATCGTTATCAAAAGGACATGCCATGTTAGTGAAAAAAGTCGCCGCCTACTGTGCCTAATGGACTTCTAATACTGACTCTGATTTTTAAAATGACAGACGGCAGAACTAGGCTACGCCAAAACTCGCCTGCTGACTGAATGAATGAGGAAATCAAATGGAGTGTGTGGCTCTGAAAGAGGGCGGAGACAGAGAGAAACTCGAGGTTCATTGAGAAAAACCTGGTCCCGACCAGGTTAGTTTCATAGAGTCTGTTACTACGGTAACTGACCGAGAGCTTAAGTTACCTCTCTCTCTGAAACAGGCTAGAGTTACTCCTCTTTCTCTGGTTTGAGTTACCTCCCTTTTTGAAACAGAAAACTCAGAGTTTCCCTCATTTCAGGGTTAACAGACTCTGAGTTTTCACTAAACCTGCTTTGTGAAACGGACCCCAGGTCTTTTCACAGTATTGATTCCTTTGAGTTGATACAGATAAAAGTATCAAACATTTTCAGTTCTCTGTGACACTCTTATACAACATGTATGTTTGACAGCGGTGCTGCCGGCCCCACAACACTTCTCTTTAACGCATTACCAGTCATGCTCTTTGTTATCAACATGTTTCAACACTCGGAGCAATAACACACACCACATCTGCTTTGTAGTGTTCATGTTGTTTTCACTTTAAAACTGTAAGCTCATGAACACACCAAAGTCGGAACAATTAGCCTCAGAGAAGCACAAGAATGAACCATTGGCCTTGGCTGGCAAACGTCTTGACTCAAGTCTGAATCAACTGCTTTTTGTTCACTCACCATGGCAGGCAGCGTGAACAGATAACAGCAAGTGGGCAAAGTTGGGGATTCATAAGCACTCAGACGTTTGACAGGCTGGTACGGTTCACTAATAAGAGTCATTTAAAAAGGTTAGTTCATTTTTGCCCATCACTACAACAAGAGTGTTGTTTTCATGTTTAAAAAAATACTGACCATTTCTTAGGCTGTTGTTCGGATTGCATTCACTTTAAGGCGTTCACTCAACACCTAAACATCTTAATCACCATCAGTTAAATTACAGCACCAAAAACTGCAGGCTCAAGACAGTCTCTACCAACTCCTGATGAAAATATGTGGCACTTCTTTAGCTATAAATGCTCCACTATGTTCAGAAGCTAGATCATTGCTACCTTCGTTTGTCCGCCATTTGGTGCCAAGCACAAAAGAATGAGCCGAAAGAGCCGAAAGAATGAACCAACAAAAAGCCAAGTTGCAGGCTGGAAAACCAAAACAATGAACTGAAAGATGCCAAAAAGCTCAGCAGAGTTGAGAGAAGCTGCAGACTCAAGAGCTCATTCTCTGTGGGTTCATCACTATGAGCAGTGCCTTTCACATACTAATTCACTTTATAGGCTTGTTTTATTATATACAGAACAGGAACAATGCACATCACATTTATTGCACCAGATATGGCTAAAAGCTCATTTCCATTCATCAACTTAATCCATTGTTAATCTAAAAATATTGATTACAGCAGCTTAACTTGGCATGATTGTGAGTATAATTTTGGGAACTATCAGTCAAAGTTGTTGGTAATTATACATACATTGTCATGACTCAGCTTAATTAATCCTACTGTGTGCTAATGCCAACATTTCTGTTCGTACAAAGCGTAGTGAAGCCAGGGACATATTTTTAGTCTGTCCTTTTCATCTGGTGTGAAAAACAAAATTATATTCAGAGGCCTTGAGAAGCTTTTTCTCTGCGCAAGCAATTTTAGAATGTTTTTCCAGCATTTATGGGACGATGTCATCATGGCAACTCTAGCACTAGAAAGAAACTCATTTGGATTTGTTCAAATAAAATAAGATGTGTTTCACAAATCTGTTATTTTCTCTGAGGGCATTTTTTGGCAGTCATAGTTGTATTTTTATTTTTTTTTATCTGTTATGAACACCAAAGAGGCCGTGTTGGACCTGGTCCTCATTTATTTCTCACAAATATGCGGAGTTCAGTTTCATGGCAGCTCATCTTAAAAGAAGCTGACTGGATTTTCTTATTGTAGCAGAACTGAATTATTTTGAATACAGAAAGAGGCAGCTTTTCTGTTAGGTTACAACAGATAAACCAAAGCTCTGCCAGTTTGGGACTGATGTTCAGCTTAATCACTCACACAGGCACCTTCCATCGTCTACACTAGCTGACAACTTTCTGCAGGGATTATAATGACATATAATGTAGAAGTAATGAGCAAAGGCAGGTGAACAGCTGTTGGGTCTTAGAGAAGTTTCACCACTCATCAAAGAGCCGTCAGTGCTTTTAATGACAGGTGGAGATTCAGAGACTTTTTAACCTCTGTGGATCAATCACACCTTAATGTCACATGACACTGGAGTGGTTGAAGTTGCCTGTCACTTTGTACTTCTAGAAACTGTCTGATCTGGATCATAGGCTGTATAATAAAGATGGAAGACATGACACCTCACCAGAAGTAAAGCCAAAACACCTCAATTTGTCCCCTGGTGGCTGACTGCATTACAGGTCATACACCCCACCCTATCCATGTTAGCGGATGAGACATGGACCAAACACCAAAAGTGAAAGAGCACATAAAATACATTTCTCCCAAAAATGGTCTCTGTCATTTTAGGTAGTTCTTATCACACTGATGTATGTTAAAGAGTTTTACTGTTAAGTTTGGTTATAACTAGTTATTTGGTGGTA